TCAGTAATCTCTCTCTGTTGTTATTCTCTTCCTCCTTTCAACTCCAAATAGAGGAGGGTACATTGCCTTTTCGCTTATTACACAGCAATAAAATAGGGAAACAATAGGATATTACAGACCCAACTGATTTCAAGAAGCATTAGTCACCACATTAATTTTTCCCCTATCAAACTGATTTACTGTATGAGTGATTCATATCACATTTTAGTGAATATGCAAAAATATGCAAAAGTTTAGGTTTATAATATGAAAATGTATAATGCAATTTTAATTCGTACTGATTCATAATTTGACCTAATGTGGATCTGGTGTTTCCTAATACGCAGCACACACAGAATATCTCATATCCCATTATTTATAGATTTTTTTGTTTACTGGAAGCGTCACTAAGAAACTAACTTGCAAGCATACTTTGTGAGGTTTAGTACAAAAAGGGGACTATTTATTTTATTTATAAGAGACGACTGAAAATATGATATTATATTGAAGAAATTTCACTGACAGTTGCTCTGTTTTAAGTAATATGTGCATGATACCCGTGTGAGGCTGAAAAATTGATAGCGTTTGCACATCACTGCGCAAAGACTGCGCATTTTGATCCCCTTGATTACATTTCCTCCAACGCGGAAGTTGTGGTTCAAGCGCTGGGAACTGAAATCTAAAACACGTTAGGGATCCGCTCTCCGTAAATAATTGTTCTTTGAGAGTGTCTTGTAAATGATGCACATTCTCCATCCTGAAAATGCATAGCACTTTGAAAAACTGGAAGAAGACGTTTGCAGATTTTGTACCGGATATAGAGTTGACCTGTGGGATAGTGACTGTGATCGTGCTGTCAGGTGTCTTTAGTGGCATACCGTATTACTTAGATATTTCAGAGCACTTTTTCAGTCTGGAGTCCAGTGCTGTCATCAGCGGCCATGGTAAGAGTTGTTTACAACTTATAAGTCACAAATGACTCCCTCAGCTGGCTTTGTCCTTCTATAAGGCACAAAAATAGTATGACGTATTAGTTCATTGCATTTTGTAGACTGATGTAGCCTCTGACCAACAACTACTGTCGTAATGAATATGTTAATCACATTATGTTGGGCAGGACATACCTTAAACTCCTCAAAATTACAGTTTTGTGGTTTGTCGTCCATGTCTTTTAAAATCTGGTGCCAGCTATATGCTAATATACTCCTAAACTCTGATAGAATTCACTTTAGTACATTTAAAACTAATAACTTGAGGAGGCATGAGATCTGTTCAAGAGTGCATTTACTCAATAGAATGCATCAACCAGCAGTACACTCAATCACCTCACAGGTGGAGTCAATTTACACACACCAAGTTCTTCTCTGCTGCTTTTTAAGCAAATACCAATACAGCTTTAGCCTGCCCTCTACAGGTCATCACTACAACTGACACTTCATTGTCACTCTACAACAAAAACGTAGTCTCTCTTTGGGAAAACGGACCAACAATATTGTTGAAAGATTTTTGACCAATAAAAGCGCTAGAATGAGAATGTCCCGCCTCCAGTACTGCCCCACAACCAAAGTTTATTGGCTATTTAAACAAAGAGTCTTTCGCATATGTTAGCCAATCAGAAAAACTGGAGGTGGGTCTCGGGCAGCCTCGACCAATGACGTTTGGGGGTGGGATTAGCTGGAAGATCGGGGTGTGTTTGAGAAACCTGTTTGGAAACAACAGTCAAGCAAACCCGTCAAAAGAACTTTAGTTCCCACGCACTCCTGCATAATCAAGTCAACCCCTCTATGCTCTAAACAACATAAATATATCCATATTTTGCAAAATATACTGTTTATATATACATAATCAACATCAATCATTTTCTATTTATCCATCATTTTTATTTTATGTCATTCACAGTGCTTTGATTGTAGCTCTTTTCCTAATTAAATTATTATTATTATTATTTTAATAATAGTTTTTCCTTCAAAGTTTGTAATGTTTACTGCATTAGGTAGCACGCCCTGTTTGCTGTTATGTTATCATATATTAAAATAAGTAAATATACCATACATTTTTTTTCTTGTGTTACTTAATTTTGTCCCCTCTCTTCACAGTCTACAAACTCTTCACCTATTTCCTCTACCACAAGAATATGATGCTTTTGTTCCTAAGTGCCGTCCTGATGATGCTTCCCTGTAGCGGGCTGGAGCAAGGGATCGGCACGGTCAGATTCCTCTACCGGTCACTGCTGCTGTCGTCCATCTGTGGAGTCCTTCATGTGCTGCTGGAATCACTGCTGTTCTCCCCATCCAATAGGAGCTCAGTAAACGGGCTCGTCCCATTAGCTCTGTCTGTCCTGGGAATGATGACCATCAATTCTGTTATGCGGAAGGCGTATATAATGGGTGTCAGTGTGCCTACTGCATCTCTCCCCTGGATATTTCTAATAATTATAACCCTGTTCTTTCCAAACACTGTCTTCCTTTGCAACGTCCTGGCCATTGTTACAGGAATGTTACGTATCCTTAATCTTAAATGTATAGAATACTTCAGTTTTTTTTTCATACTACAGACCTTGATTTTGAAGCTGACAATCCTGTGATGTAGTTTAATCAGTGTATAGTGTATTTTTAATCTATTCCTTAACTTAGTACTTTTAGATGGAATGGGGTGGTTTTCATTGTTAGAGATGTCAGAATCTAGAGCTTCTGTCTTGGAGAAGAAGTTCCCTTTTCGCTTGCTAAAGCAAATACCTGGTGTCCAGTTCATCCCTGCATCGACCGAAGAGCGCAAAAAGCCACTTGACCTCACGTGAGTGATCAAGGTCACAATGACATATGGTCACCCTATTGTTCACTTTATGGTGTTCATACAGTATATTGCAATATGAAGAAGGTTGTTAGAGTGCATCATTTATCTTCCTCATCTTGAGCAGCTGGATGATGCATTCCAGGCTTTTTTAATTGGTTAGTATTGGTATCAATTTAGCATGATGTCTTTGTTGAATTTGTGCCACAGCCAGCCAATTAATAAAAGCCTGTTTAACACAGACTGTTTAAAAGAATTTAAGAAAGATTTATTTTGAGATTGTGTCAGTTGGTTCTGTATGGATGTTATTTTTTTTTATTTATGCAGGTCTTTAAAAAAAAAAGTCTTAAACAGATAGTTCACCCAAAAATGAAAACTCTGTCATGATTTTGAATAATGTTGGTAATCAAACAGATTTGTTTCCCGTTGACTTAATTTGGACAAAAATTGCAATGGAAGTCAATGGGTACCGAAACTGTTTGGTTCCCAACATTCTTCTTCAGAAAATCTTCTGCGTTCCCCAGAAGAAAGAAAGTCACAGTTTTGAAAAGACATGAGGGTGAGTAAATGATGATAGAATTTTCATTTTTGGGTGGACTATCCATAAAACCAATACATGTTTTGATTTTTCTCAGTATATTTTCTGACTTAAAAAATATCTGTAATTCCAGAGATGCTCCACCAGGGTCGTACCCTGTCCAGGCCTACGCTCCAGTAAATGCAGCCAATGGTCAAGTTACAGGACACCTTCCCAACACATTCGATGGTTGGCCGGTCTCACTGTATCCTCAACAGCAATACACGTTTACTTCTCCTTACGCTGGAGTCGGCATTGGTCACAATCACGGTCATAGTCACAGCCATGAACATCATCATGGGCACAGCCATCACACCGGCAGTCCGTGGATGCCCATGTCCCCATACGCTCAGCATCAGTTCAGGCCTCCAGTTAACCTGACAGGACAGCCCTTCACTAAACTACCTCAGCCAGGAGTGCCGTTCACACCTCCGATCTCACAGCCAAAGTCTGGTGTGCCTGCCTTTCCCACAACTCCTCCCGGAGCCTCTGTGTCATTGTCATCCTAGAGATTTGATGCCTTATCTGAAGGTTTTTTTGTTTGTTCGTTCTTCTGATACCTCATGTCTTGTTCCTAGAATTCAAACGGCTCCAGATGTGCAATTCTGCAACCTGGGTGATGTTTAACTTGTTTTTAAATTTATACAGTTGCCGTTTTGCTACATAACATTTTGTACCTTAAATTAAAAACTGAATTGAGTAAAACATTTTTCTATCTTATGTTTTAATCAATTCTTTAGCCATTTTATATACTGTAGTATTTTTTTTAAACATGTCCATACATCACATTTGGAGGCCAGACAGTGTTTGTGCATATTCTTTATTTGTCAAACATTGTATGACTGAGATCACAAGGACATTTCTCTTCCCAAGCAATATTAATGCATTAAGTTTAAAAATTAAACAAATGCAAGCTCGTCTCATTTTAAAAACACAATGCTGAGCATTTTGATGCCATTGCTGCTTTGGCTCACTAGGGGGATGAATTGAGGAGTCAATTCTATAGTCATAAGTAGAAATCAGTGGAAAAGATGTACCAATCAAGAAAATGAGAGAAGAACTTTCTTTTCTTTTAATAAATGCACCTGTTAAAATGTTAGGAAAACACATACATTTAATATATTCCTATGACCATTAACACTTGACCAGTTTGCTAAAACTTAAAAAAAAGACTAACAGAATGTAACACTTCACCCAATGATGGGAATCATGTTGATTGCATAATTTCTCATTCAACTGCTACTTAACGTTAGTGTGACAATGCATAAAAAGAGTGTCAGAACATCTGGAAACAACAAGAAATAAGAATGAACAAACATCACGTGATCAAAAAAAACACAACTGACCTAAAATGTTCATTTCCTGTAACACATTGTAGGATGTTTTGATACACGGTGTCACAAAATATATTCTTTATTTGTCAAACATTGTATGACTGAGATCACAAGGACATTTCTCTTCCCAAGCAATATTAATGCATTAAGTTTAAAAATTAAACAAATGCAAGCTCGTCTCATTTTAAAACCACAATGCTGAGCATTTTGATGCCATTGCTGCTTTGGCTCACTAGGGGGATGAATTGAGGAGTCAATTCTATAATCATAAGTAGAAATCAGTGGAAAAGATGTACCAATCAAGAAAATGAGAGAAGAACTTTCTTTTCTTTTAATAAATGCACCTGTTAAAATGTTAGGAAAACACATACATTTAATATATTCCCATGACCATTAACACTTGACCAGTTTGCTAAAACTTTAAAAAAAGACTAACAGAATGTAACACTTCACCCAATGATGGGAATCATGTTGATTGCATAATTTCTCATTCAACTGCTACTTAACGTTAGTGTGACATAATGCATAAAAAGAGTGGCAGAACATCTGGAAACAACAAGAAATAAGAATGAACAAACATCACATGATCAAAAAAAACACAACTGACCTAAAATGTTCATTTCCTGTAACACATTGTAGGATGTTTTGATACACGGTGTCACAAAAACTAAATCTAAAGTTTTACAGTGCGTCACAAAGTGATACTTGCAGTCTTTTCACATAGAGATAAAACAATAGAAAGAGTATGACAATATTTATATGAATAATCTTTATAAGGCCTCACTCAAAAAAGAAGAATTTTGCATCTTTGACATTTGCATATACATGAACACCCAATACCGCTTAGGGTTCAAATTCAGTCTATCATAAACTCATCTAAAGGAAGAATGTGTAACCACACGTTTGTGTGATGTTGGGAGTGCAGTATCTTTCATCAAAATTCTATTATATAAACAATAAATCAGTCCAGACAAATTCATGATTAAAGTTTTAGCTCTAGCATTTGGAGAAATGATGGTTTGAGGTAAAGTGGCAAACATTGGTTTATCAGTTAGCTTAGCTCCAAACGTCCTGCGAGTAACGGCCCTTGGTCATCAGCTTCTTGAAATAGTCCACAGCTTGAGTGTGCGTCAGGCCGCCCACCTCCTCTGCAATCTCATAGAAGGCCGTGTGCACGTCCCGAGCCATGTTACGTGCATCTCTGCAAGCACACATATTCTCATTACATACGCAAGCAAAAATGCTGCTGGAAAGAGATGCTGTGGTCTTTAAAGATACCACAGCATCTAACAGTATCAATATGTATACTGTATCCACAGTATCAATATGATACTGGTGAATGGCAGTATTGAAGCACTGTAATTATTTCAAGCTGTTTATTGTTCTATGGAAATCCTGCCAGTTACTACTAATGCGGATTGTGTTCATAAGAATGTTATTCATCTGTGGTAGAAGCAACTTCTGGTTCTTATTTATTTAGTCATTTAGCAGACGCCTTTATCCGAAGCGACTTACAAATGAGGACAACAGAAGCAATCAATTGTAGTATTAAAACAACTAAAAACAGATCCAAAACTAAAAGCTAAAACTTCATAAATACTACTTCTACACATTTTAAAAATAAAGAAATTAAATTAAAATGACAAATGCATACAACAAAATTTCAAAACTTAACATTTAAATGAAAAAATAAAAAATAAAGCTAAAAACAATTCAAAATATTAAAGAACAAAAGGTTTACGAGTATAATAATGATTCTAACATAACACTAAGCCAAACACCAAAAAAACAACTACATATATGTGTATGTACAACCATACACACATACACCAAGTGGTTCTTACCCACAAACGTAGATATGGGCATTATTTGAATGAATGAGCTTCCACAACTGCTCCTTGTTTTTCTTCAGAAGATGTTGCACATAGATCTGTAAAAACAGCACAGTCCACAGAATTACTCTTCAGTTTCAAACTAAAAGTGGAAATCTTTAATATTGTGAAAACTATTATTCTGATAACTCTGAAAACTATGGTAATGAAGACCAGTCATATTGGTTTGTTTAAGATGAATAAGTGGGAAAAAATATTATAATAATATTATGCATCTTAATATAATAATAATAATAATAACATTAATAATATGCATCTTTAAATTTAATTTGAATTTGAATATATACTTAAAAATATATATTCTATTTCTTGATTTCCAATATGGTAAGATTTTTTAAAGAATTTATTTACAGCAAAAACTGTAATATTGTGAAATATGATTTTAATATATTTTAAAAAGTAATTTATTCCTAATTTTCAGCAGACATTACTCGTCTTCAGTGTGACATTATTCTTCAGAAATCATTAATATTTTTGTAATATATATATTTTTTCAGTATTCTTTGATGAATATAAAATTCAAAAGAACATTTGTTTGAAATAGAAATCTTTTGTAACATCATAAACGTCTTTACTGCCTTTTGTTTAATTCAATGTAGTCTCAGCCTCAAGATGTCACGCCCACGGACCGTTGGCTGAATGTCTGATGCATACGGCACACAAAATTGGAAACACTTCAGGAGTTTCAAAGTCGTCATTGGATTGGTTGAATTATACAGGATTTCCTGGAGTTGTGTGTGTGTTGCATTCTTTAACACTGGATTTTCAAAAGTATGTGAAATATTAAAAGTTCGCGACATAGAATCTTTAAAATACGTCCAAGAATTTTACACACCAGTCTGTTATTGTGGGGACATTTCCACTCCCCTAAACATGACGCGGGTCAAAATGAAACGTGATTGGTTGCTTTACCTCTCAGCCATATGGCCTCTTGGGCGATCCTTAGCCATTCAAAGCGGCCAAGGTTCCCAGATATTCTGCTGTCAGTCTGAAGGTCTGGCTACGCGAGACTAAATTCAATGCATCCTAGCTGAATAAAAATATTATATAAAAGTATATGTGACCAATACTGGATTTTCAAAAAGTGTAATTCCTATTTTTTTATTTGTATTAGATTTGCTGTCATCTGTCACACTCCTCAAGTTAACTTTTTAAAACACTAATAATTTAATAACACAGTTAAACATAACATTTAGCAAATCTCAAAATGATTATCCATTATACAATATAAACAAATAATTTTATTGATATAGTATGTCATTTTTATATCATTAATGACAGCCATAACAAGAAAATAATTTAGTTACTGGCCAGAATTTAGATTTCAGTGCATCCCTAAGTTACTCACCTTGTGCTCCTGGTCTCTGGAAAAGGCGACGTTAAGCTGTGTCAGCACTCCTGCCCTCTCAAACTCCTCCAGTTCCTGCTGGTACAGGAAGTCCTCATTCTTATGGCGACAACCAAAGTAAAGTATCGTCTCACCAACATCCTTCCCTGCAAAAGAGCAAAAACTGAGTGAGATACCTTCACTATATTATTATTCACAAGTTGTGTCAAAGCCAGTTTCAAGCTTCACCTTGTTCCTTCTGCCATGCTCTCTCCTGGATGAAGCCCACAAAGGGGGCGATGCCAGTGCCAGGCCCAATCATGATTACAGGATTACTGGGTTTGAACGGCAGGCGGAATTGGGATCTCCTAACATACATGGGAACGGTGTGCTTGTGGCCATTCTCGGTCACTTCTTTGTTCTTAAGCCAGTTGGTGGCCACACCCTTGTAGAATCTTCCTGTCTTGGTGGTGTACTCGATCACCACAGCACAGATGTGGATAGAGGTTGGATGGACCTGAAATGAGGGCGAACAAAGTCTGTATCAACCTCAAAGTTTTTAATTCAAGGTATAATATCGAAAACTGCAGGGTTTTACCTTGTTAGAGGAGGCGATGGAATAGTATCGAGCCTGAAGTCGAGGAAGGAGCTCACACAGGTGGTCTACAGGAGGGTTCAGGGAAGGTAGATCCTCTAGAATAGCCAATATGTTCCTCTCAGAATCCAAAACCCAACTCTGATACAAAGCCTTAAAGGACCAATCAGATGGTGAATAAAAATGTTCAAGTTTTACTGTAGACTACTATTACATCAGTGACTATGACGTGATCCTAACCTTTCCTTCAGGTGAAGCAGACGCCATCTTGCGCATGTTCTCTTGTTCCTGAGGATCAGAGGTGTACTGCGACAGCTCATACAGCACGTTTTTGCGTGGTGTGTTGTTGATGTCAAGGTAATGGGTCAGTGCTGTGCGGTATGTGGATGGACAGGGGAACGGGTGCTTTTTATTGGATTCCTCTGCAGAATTGAAACATTATTAGCAACCATAGCATGTTACAGTATACATAAAAACATATTCTGATTGTTTAATTTCAGATATTAGTACATACCATCCAGATTTTTGAGTGAGATTACAGTATCAAGATCTACTCCAAGTCTCTCTCCTATTCTGTTGACCACCGCTGCATCATTTGTGGGGTAAACAGCAACATGGTCTCCAGCATCATATCTGCCAAGTTTGGAAATCAATTGATTAATATGTGGATATAAAAAATAAAAAAAACTGGACACTGTATGAATATATTACTCAGTAGTGAACATAAAACGTACAGTCTGCATGCAAATGTCTTTTATATGCTATCCTAATAACATAACAGTATTGTATTGCAAAATTGTAATTATAAAACGGATAGTTCCGGTCCTTGATTCTGATTGGCAGAGCCACGTTTGAAGCTGTTGTAAATTACTCTACAAACATACACCTTTGTTTACATCTGTGTGTTGCTTGGCAACCACTTTGTTGCAACCACAACCGATTCTGAGGAACTATTGTTTGGCGGAAGAATAAAGCAATAAGCCCCAAGAAGCCATGGTTTACAGTGAATTTATAACAGCTAAGGGGCGTTGTTAGCCTAAAACCCCCTTAGCTGTTATAAATTCACTGTAAACCACGGCTTCACAGGGCTTATTGCTTTTATAAAACGGTTATTCCATATACGTAGTAAGGTTTCACAAAATAAAACAGAGCAAATAATGTGTAATGATATTAATAAAAGCAGTATTCTTCCGCCAAACAATGTAGTTCCTCAGAATCAGTTGAGGTTGCAACAAAGTGGTTGCCAAGCAACAGACAAACGTAAACAAAGGTGTGTGTTTGTAGAGTAATTTACAACAGCTTCGAATGTGGCTCAGCCAATCAGAATCAAGGACCGGAACTATCCGTTTTATAATAATGTTTTATTAATATCATTACACATTATTTGCTCTGTTTTATTTTGTGAAACCTTACTATGTATATGGAATAACCGTTTTATAAAAGCAATAAGCCCCGTGAAGCCGTGGTTTACAGTGAATTTAAAACAGCTAAGGGGGGGTCGTTTCGCGTCGTGCCTAACAACGCCCCTTAGCTGTTATAAATTCACTGTAAACCACGGCTTCTTGGGGCTTATTGCTTTAGAATAGAACTGTGGAATCAACACAATGTCATGAACACAGTTATAGGAGTGTGAATCTTCTCATTAAAACTAATCAAGAACATGGGCTATATTACACCCTAAAAACAAAAGAAGGAAATAAATTATATTTAATATAAAGTAGAATAAATTAATTTGTATATAATACAATTTTATTTATATTATGTAATACAATATAATTTTAAATAAAAAATGTAACCAAGCTTCATTTTCTTCCTACTATTTTTTTTTTTTTACTTTTGTATTTAGGGTGAAATGTGACCTGGAAATGTTTTCATGAGATCCACCCAACAAGTCAATTGTTACACATACCTGATTTTAGAATCCATGATATCTAACTCGATGTGCATCAAGTGCCGGTTTCCCCCTTTGTTCAGCTTACGGTTAACAGTGACAGGTGCAAGGAAAAGATTCTTTGAATCAAACGGTCTACACAAATCAAATGAATAATGCGATCAGATAAAACGCTTTAGTATAACATTTCTGTATATCATTTAAAACATTAGACTCAAGCTAATCCTAAAAAAGTTATTCACAAAACCGTGAATAAAAAACATTTTACATACTTCTTAACAATAGAAGCATAAAATTTACTCTCAGCTCAGGAGTGATCTTTTAAAATGCCAATCAGTGTCATACAATCACTTAGTTGAAAGGGATGAACTCACGGTTTCTGTGTCTGAAAGCTTTTGAGCCGCCCCATCTCTCCGGTGTACACTTGATTCATATTGATGTCATTATGAACCACCAGTTCAAACTGCCGAATGCTGAAAGAACACAGAAAGGATTGGAGATCTCATCCAAGCCAGCATTTGAAGCATTCAAAACACCTATGATGTTTAATAAGATGCAAAAACCTATTTAAAGCAGGACAGGAGAGGTTTTTGTTATGGAAGAACATGATAAATGGATTTGGTTCCTCTAATATGGAGATGAGACAGACACTGCATGTGTTGAGAGGCCACAAAATACCCATCAAATAAACATCAGGTTTGAACTAGACAATCGGATACAGCTGGTCTGCTCTTTTAAATTCTACTATTTGTTGCCTACCAATACAAGACTGTATTGCAGACTGTTTTTAAATGAAAATTTGTGATTTAATTATAAGACAAGCAAATGGAGAATAAAAAAGAAAATATAAAGAATACCTGCTTTCTTCTCCCGTGGCCTCCACTCCAAAGAACTCACATACTGCAGGCCAAAACTGCTCCTTCCAAGAGATAAAATCCTCTTCCAAGCTACAAATGATTTAAGATTAAATAATCAGGACAGGCAATGATTTATCCATTTTATCTGTTTCAATCTGAATCTTTTTATTTACTCACTTGCTGTCGTCATCCCCGAGCCCCAGGTCAAAGACCCTTTTTCCCCCAAGTTCAGCAAGCCTCTTGTCTGTATAGTTGCCTGTGGCATTGAAATGCTCATATGTTTTATTTCCTAAACCAAACACCTAAAAAAATTTGCACAAAAAAAAAAAATCATTCAGTTTCTGCAAGGAGTAAATTAGACACAGAATGGAAAACTTTTCAATCAACACATACAAAACTTTAAAGGCTTAGTATCAACTAAAAACATTCAAATTCTCTTGAAATTTTGAAATGTGCATATTATCTACTATAAGGTTTTACTTTTACATTCAAATCTTCCTCTCCTGTTTAAAAAGAACCATTCAGTGAAACAGAGACACAAAAAACATTACACATTTTATGGAGGAATACATCTAGAAAAAGATACGTTTATTCCAAAATGGTCCGTTTAGTTCAAAGTTTCGGCAAATGGAAATGGAAACTAAACTAAATAATGACTTTTGGAGAACAAAAAATATTTATGATTAAAATTGACTTTAAAGAAATTAGGCATAAAAGAAAAATCAATCATTTTGACCCATACGATGTCTTTTTGGCTATTGATACAAATATACCCCAGCGACTTAAGACTTAAGACTTAAGTTTTGTGGTCCAGGGTCACAAATAACACTGTAGACGCACTGCAGTGATGTTTCCAACCACATGTTTTATCACGCTGTCCCACCATAGCAACATAAAAGAATCTGAGAACTCCAGACTGAAACCACAAGGCTTTCATCCAGAATACAGGTCCAATTTAAGGAGTCTGGACACCCATGTCTCCAGAATCAAAGAAACAGAAGATCTAGTAATATGGTTCCATGTGAAAGAGTCCCGCTAAGAGAGAGGTTCCGCTGGGATGGAGCTCTAGCTTTGTTTGGCTAGGCCAGATGTTTCCATTTGGTAAGAGAGAACTGATGAGGATTCCATGGGCCCCTTAACTATGGGACAGCCTCAGGCTCAGGCTTGTTAAGAACTTCACCGACTGCCTAAGAAATAGGTACCACTTCATAAAAAGGCCAGGAATTTTGGAGGTTGCCCATTGATGGATGGTTGTCCCATGCAATCTCTTGAGCTCCATTTATTCACCACAGAAATCAATCACAAAAAGAAACAAATTAGCTTTCTGCACTTTTCTGATGTTGGATTATTACTTACAGCAAAATTGACCCCCTCTAGATCGTCATCAGTCCCTTGCATCCAATCATAGAACTCCTGAGCGTTGTCTGTGGGGTCTCCCTCTCCATAGGTTGCCATGCAGAACACAGCCATGGAATTAGGAATCTCTTTTAGTCTAGACAGCTCGGACTGCGAATGGGAGATTATAATGACAAAAGTCAAAAGTATTGTAAAGTATTCCATTCTGATCTTGATTAATAGATTTTTAATAGTTCCTGTAATATTAAACAGGAAGCAATAATGGTGAAAGTACCATGTCGTATTCCTCTGGGTCTGTGGCCATGCCTTTCATGCCATAGCGATGGGCATCTTTTGCCAGCCTGTTAGCAAATTCCTCAGCAGTCCCTGTTTGTGATCCATAGAACACCACAACGTTTCGGTTCTAGAATGGGAAGATATTGAAATCAAACATAATGGAACTTTTTTTTCATTGTTCAAGGTGGTGAAATTTTCACCAATTATTTCAACTTTTTAGAACTTGACTGAAGTACTATGGTAATAAAATGTTCCTGAAAATCTCACCGTTTTCTTCATTTTCTCAATAAAGCTGGTCTGGCGTATTGGTGGTGGTCTATAAAGAGAAAAACAAGAAAACAAGAAAAAAAGAGAGAAAGAACACATGTGAAAAGGCATGCCAGACCAATTCTTTTGGTAATGAATAGAGGATTGAGACATTCATTTCTCAGCCTTTTCCACACAGAAGAACATGTTCAAGAGTCATTGTTCAACTAATGAAACCACATGTTTTCATGTTAATTCAACAAAGAACAGAAGGTAGTCTGCTAAGTGCAAAAACCTTACTTGAACATTGTTACGTTTGATACAATAATCTTACAGTTTCTACTCTTTTTAAAATGTTTTTTTTTTTATTTCTATTCATCAAAAATCTTGAAAAAACAGCACAACTGTTTTTAACATTGATAAAAAAAATGTTTCTTAAGCATCAAATCAGCATATTAGAATGATTTCTAAAGGATCATATAACACTGAAGACTGGAGTAATGGCTGAGTAATGAAAATTCAGCTTTGCCATCACAGGAAAAACTACATTTAAATTATATTAAAAACAGAAAACAGTAATTTTATATTGTAATAATATTCACAATATTATTGTTTTCACTGCATTTTTTTAAATCAAATTAATGCAGCCCTGGTGAGTAAAAGAGGCTTCTTTCAAAAACATATCAGGGTTAGTGTATATAATGTATATATAATCAAACTATTAAAATTACTAAACACAACCATCATTGCACTGGCAAGAAATCGAAGTGCAAAACAATAGATTCTTCTCCTATATATTGTTCATAGCTCCAAAGTAAAGAAAACAATTTATCCCCTTCGCATTGAAAATCCATGCAGCATTTCACAAGACATTCCACAAAATAGTTATGCCTTTGTGCAAATGAAAATTATAAACTTTTTGCACACCACTCGTACAACAATGTGTTGCACTGTTAAGACAATAAGCAATTCCTAAGAGCAAAAGCAATTACACAAATGTCATAAATAGCACCTGAAATATCTACCACAACAGAACAAACATTGGTTAAACATCCGTCTGTCCCGGACTAACCTCTCTGCAGCGGCCAGTCTGTCCTGAGGCAAAGAGAACATGCATCCCATGACTGGGGAAAAGACCCTGTCCTTTAGGGTTCGGCATACAGAGCACTTTCGTCTCTAAGAGGTTTGGATCAAGCCCAAAGTCCTTTGGACTGCGTAAAAGATCATTAGGAGGCTCTGTAGAAAACACATCACTCTACAGCGCAGGAAAAGGGGGTGTGAGGCAGGCGAGGGTCTGAGACAGGCTCCCGTGCACGCTCATTCTCGCTCTCTCTCTCTCTCTCCTGCCATCTGGCCAGAGCACAGCGGTTGCAAAGCAACAGGAATATACAACATTTCCCATGGATCTCTGCAGCACAATGCTGTTACTGAACCCCCACCCCATCCTAAATGCACACGCACATAGACATGCAAAAAGCTTCAAATGCTCCTGACAACGCAAACACAAGGAATCCATTCCCTCCTTTTCCCAGCCTAATAAAACCCAAAAGAGCACTAAAACAAAAGCCAATCTAAATTCCTGGATTGAATTAAGTTTTTAAAACACTTTGCAATGTGTTTCACTGCAGACTCCACATAAGAAATGCATTTGATTAAAACAACTAAAAAAGAAAGACTAGTGGAGTTGTTCAAGACTTTGGCAGGATGGCTTGGACTGGCTGCGATCCTTCAATGTGAGTAATGTGAACCAGGAAGCGGAGAGAATTGGAAGAGGTTATCCTTTCCTGCTCGCTAAACATGTCTTCCTGACATTAGAGTTCTCTACTTATACATAATTTCCTCCTGCATTCTTTTCTGCTCTTTATGTAATGCTGTTATTCCTTTTTTTTAAAACCCAATCAATAAATGGTGAAAAGAGATTTATGTCGGAAGGAAAAGCTATGTTTCTGAAAGTCTGTTATGTTCACCAAGCCTGCATTTATTACTCAAAAACACTTATTATTATTATTATTGTCAATGCTTTGGTGCTTAATATTTTAGTGGAAATCGTGATACATTTATTGCATGACACTTTGATGAATAAAACGTTCAAAAGAACAGCATTTATTTGAAATGGAAACATTTTGTATAATAATGTCTTTACTGTCACTTTTTATTCATGTCATGCATCCTTGCTGAATAAAAGTATTAATTTCTTTTTTTTTTTTAAACACATTTTTGAACAGTACCTTGGTGCTAAAGTCATCAGGCCTTTCATTGTTTTCAAGATTGAATATGTCATAAGTTTAATACACAACACTACAACGGACTAACAAGGATTATGAGGAGCATTCAGGAACAATAACATCCTGTGACTCCATCTGAACACACAGTGCTCATACAATTCTTCTGTTTATTACATAGCTCACTTTAATGTTTGATATCACCAGCTAAGTCACTGATTCTGATTTTCAGAATTGTGAAAACCGAACAGGAAATTAACTTCTACCAACTTGACATGTATGAAAATATGTGGACAAAGAAGTAGATGTTGGCACTTAACCACTGTGTATATGAACTGTGTCTCAGCTGCTGCAGACCATAATGCTGAGACAGAATGTAATGCACGCACATTCTCTCAATCCCATGATGTCAACACTTTGCAATGTTGGAGCCCATGACCAACTGAACCACAAAGTGCTTTAGGAACGAGCCATGGTGCAGAAATGATGCTTTGTTCGAACAAGGCCAAAGGTCTATATGGGGAGAAAAACTATAAACAGGCCATCCAACAAAAATATTATCGCAAATTTGAGCCCCATAACACAGTTTCTGCCATGGACTGTAAAGCTCATTTTGTACCTTTATTATTTGCATTTACACTGGTGGTTGAGGAGAGATCCCCCATATGATTGTAAAGTGCTTTGGGTGTACAGCAATACACAATACAGCGCTATATAAATGCCTCATTCATTCGTTCATTCACTTTTGTGTGTTTCACAAGACTCTTTCAAGGCTCTGCTCAACATTTCAGTTGTGCAGAAAAATTTGTGTGGGTTCAATATTTCCCTCTTGAGGACAAATGAACGGGGAAGGGGAGTTCAAATGAGGCACTTACACTGCAGGGAATGTCTTCAAATCCAGAACAGGCTCTGTTTTTTTTCGGAAGAAGAACCAGTAGATAAGCAGTCCTGCGATTAGAGAGAAGACAAAGATGTCCAGAGAGCCGAGGAGAGTCTCCGGAGGCTGATACTCATCGGAGAGCAGCTGGGATTCACTGTCCTCCATTTTCACATAATTCAGTGAGCAGATATGTCTGTAAAAACAGATTGTTTTCACAACTTAGTATTAGTCTACAATTGATTGAAGTGACTCTGAAATACACGCACACACACAGACAATTTATATTTACATATAATTTATTAATCATATTTAAAATGTTTTAAAAAATGTATCACCATTTATGATAAATGGTGTAGATAGACAGTATTTTTTTACATTTTAACTTGCAGTTTGTGGCCATGTAGTTGACGTTGAAAAACAATAGAATTTGTGACTTTTTGTCATGTTGTGCCCTCTTTTGAAAAATCTATGTAATTACATAATGATGACCAGTCACCAGTTACAAAACACCCTTTCTTTTAAAGGACTTTCGTCAATTTCTAATTAATGTAATTGTTCACCACCTCGGTTCCTTAGAAACTTTTATCGCTCGATAACAGAGTTACAAAACAGCCCTCATCTCTTAAATAGCAGAAGTACTGTTGTACTTTTTGAACATTTAACATGGCTTTGCTTAAATACTTTGACGTACATGGTTCATGAATATGTTAATATCGCGTAGCAAAGTTACATTGTGTACCATCTCATACTACCACTGTACTATGCTACATCGCCATAGAATTTTTGTAAGGGCAGACATAGGCGTATATACACCAAATGTTCACTTTTTGTTTATGACTTCACAAAATGATTGACAATACACTAACAGGAAAGGATATTATTATAATTCAACAGTTACACAACAAAACACACATTACAAAACACATACCTCCGGTTAGCTGGAGCAAGACGCACAGCGCGAGCTTACGTCACATTGAAACGCCGGGTTGCCAGTCACAAGTTCAAATATCCCTCCCGTATAGTATCCCCGCTAAGAGCAGGCATAGTTTAACTTTGAACAGATGCTACCTTTTTAGCTTTGTTGTAATGTTTAGAATGCGTTAACATGTTCTTCAAATATATGTATTTTTATTCTAACGTATTTGTCCACTGCAGCAACTTCTCATATGCTATGAGAGTTTAATTCAAATAAGAAAATAAGAGAATTGAAAAACTGTTATGCTCAATTAGGTGAATTCTTTACTGGAAATTTTGTGTATGAGATATCTTTATCATATTAAAAACCTTGGACCTAACGTTCTGCTGAAATATTTCCAATTCCCATTTCTGTTTGACAGGGCTTCCTCAATCAATTCTTGAAAATATTGAAAAAGTCGTTCAGTTTTTCCTAGCATTTGGCTGACTGCACATGCCTCTACTCACATGTGTCATGGTCCTATGATGGTAAAGTCATGTGTTGACATTGTGGAACAATGCCACTGATAGCAAATGATTTCCATAAATGTCTTCTAGCTTCTGTTTGAGTTCTCTCGAACAATCATTAACTTGCCCATTCTAATCAACTTGAAATATAGGCCAGAGGTGTTTTACAAATGTGGTAAAAGAAAACATCAACATACTGTTATCATATTCTGATGTCATGACTTTCTTTGGCATATGGTGTGCAAAACATCATGACATTTAGTCCTTTAATAAAATAAAATAAAAATATTAAATATTTTAGGTTTAGGGAAAAGACATTTCATCCCTTATGTTTTGTGACACATTTACAAAAATCATAACTTAGCCAGGTTGAACTACAAACCGAAAAAAATAACATTTGTTGAAAACATTTACGCAACAAAATATTAACACACTGACATTTAAAAAAACATTCATATAAAACATAAATTGCTTTAATAAAGAGTTCAGCAGTGCCTTTGTGCCGGTCATTTATAAAGCTTTGGCTTTGTCCTGATCCATGTATTTGTGGTAAACAACACCAAGAGTGGTGAAGAAATTTCCCATGAACAAAACAAGGAAAGTAGAGGCGCACATGAGAACCTACGAAGAAAAAGAAAATATTTCAAATACAAATTATTTCAACATAACCATAATTTTTTTTAAATAAATTTATATATATATATATATATATATATATATATATATATATATATATATATATATATATATATATATTTTTTTTTGCAGGAACACTAAATTAGCCACCAAGAAGAAAGCACCTGTCATTTACTAGTAGTACACCAAATGCATTTAATGTAATACAATAATAAGGACAATTATTTCCAGTATTTCCATTTCCATGTATCAAAAAGAAGCAGAAAAAAAGGTAATAAAATGGAATACATCTCCATGGAATGTTCATGAAATTGCTAAATGTGGAAAAATTTAATAAATGTTGGGGGACATATGTTTTCAATAAGGCATAGGTTACAGTGAAATCCACAGTGACTATCAATAAATAAGGATTTGGTAGCTTTCCTTATGTCCACAGTCCCAGACCAGGCAAGTCCTGTCAGCAAAACTGAGCAAATATGGGGCATATGGTGGCACAAGGGTGGCCATGAGGTGAAACAGACCTTATTAATGCTTTTGGATTAAAGCAATATACACACCTTGAATAGTAAATATAATGTATGGATCTTTATTTTACTCTTTTATTTAGCTAATACGTGTTAGCACATGATGTAAACTATTTTGAAAAACTGACCTGCCACTCTTTCCATTCTGGATGCTGGGCCATTTGGAAGAGCGTAATTCCATTATAAAGCTGGAAAAACTGTATATACATAATAAGACGGTTAGAGCCACAGCATAATAACAATAGAATTACATCAGAACTTGTCATCATTTTACGTCAGTATTAAACAAACTCTTCTTTTGTCTGGTACTGTCATTCAGGTACAGGTAAATATAATGGTTACATCATCTCAAACTATGTTACAGCTTTAAACTGACATATTGCCCTCTGTGCCACCAGAAGAAGTCTTTACCACGATGATTACATAGCCATAAGACAGAAAGTGAGCTATTTTCCCATGCAAGATGATTGCATTTATTGCAAAATAACCCAAGATTAACAAACACAGTATCAAACTTACATGGCCCAAGAAAAGGAAAGGCAGGAGAAAGGTCAGACCCCTCCACATCCAGGACTGAAACCCCTCTGATCATAAAGCACATGTGAAAACATGTGTTAGCGTATAAATCTGCCATAGAATAAGGAAAAAAAGACGAGAAAAGAACACACAACCCACCAACTGTGAGGTCCATGTTGTGTCTTTCTCCAAGAGCTCTAAGTCTATATAAGCAGCCACTCTGGTAATAGTACTGGAGAAACTGAACAAAATCTGAATGGAGAACAAAACAACAAAATTAAATGATTAAATAAGACAATGAATAAATCATTAATACACTGAAAGTGTTACTAATACTGTAAGGCAGCAGTTCTTACTTATATACATGGAGTAGGACAGGAACTGATTTCTGAACATCTGGTAGAGTTCACCATCAGGCCTGTGAGACAAATGAACAGTTCACGTACATCTGATATTCACACATTATCTCTCACTCTTTTTCACACTTGTACTACTGATCCTCAAAAATGACTATGAAGTGTGCTATCCTACTTGAACACATTTCATTTTAAGCATTTAATCAGAATAAATTAATCTGATTAATCTAATACATATTAGAATACTCTTTATTAAAGTGCCAAAGTTTCAAAGATGTAATGCTGTAATATCTCACTGTGTTAAAGAGTTAAGTTGTTCTTACCAGGTCAGCATTACTCCAGAGAGAAATGTTGAGACATAGTGTTGAAACACCCACCAGCCCTTGATCCTGAAACCAAGTATTGAAACTTTACAGTATAGCCTGTAGTACTGCATTAATACATGGCAAGAATTGAGTATTACATACACTGTAAAAAAAAAAAAAAAAAAAGGTTTTCGCAGTGATGCCATATAACAATCACTTTGAGTTCCCCAAAAATCCATCCAGTGAACACTTTTTATAAAAGAGCATTTTAATAGTCTAAAGAACCTTTATCCACTATAAAGACCCTTTTGTGTGAGGACTGTGGAAAGGTTCCATTGATCTTTAAGGCTCTTCATGGAACCATAAATGCCAATAAAAAATCTTTCTTTCTTTCTTTCTTTCTTTCTTTATTTAGTCAACCTTTATCCTTTATTAGAAGGCAATGTTACATTTATTACAGTTAAAAGAACCTTTATTTTTAAGAGTATAATGATATGATTATTCTTACTTGGAGCCGTTATTAATGAGGATGCTCTCTCTTATCGTCAATGTACAATAATACCACACCAACAGGAAGTTGAAAAGTGCGTCTACAACCCTGTAAGAACACAGGGGAGCAAAGACAAATGCATAAATTAATTTGGTTATTTCACATGCATTAGTGAAACATGTAGAATTACATATAGTCAATGATTAAAAAATGGCTGTTGCTACATGATATTAAAAAATTACACTTTTACACTCTCTAGAGCACTATTAGGCTAACCCTCAATTTTTCATATTTAATTGGAATAAACATGTACCTGTAGCTGACCAAAAACCGACAGGTGAATGAGAACAACAAGAGCAGCACAGTCAAGTATAGTTTGAACTTCTCATACTCATCTTTATAGGCAAACCTGTACAATGGAGAAACAGGCAAGAGTCAGACAAATCACATGACGCATGACTCATTAACATGACTGCATTTCATGACACCACATTGTTTAAAGATGATGATCACAAGTTAAGGCTATTGTGGTGTTAGAATTTTTCAGAACATTTGAATCAAATAGGACTGTTCAGAGAACTTACTTGGACTGCTTGTTAAGGAGTGTTACGTTAACATTTCCAAGCACAAGACTGAGGTATAACCTGGAACAAGAACAGAGTTATCATCAGGTGCTTGCAGAATCATTGTATGTGTTTGAACAAGGTAAATTACAAATGCACACACCACTATCAATTATTATTGAAATATATACCACACCTTTAGTCTATAGTCTTTTAAGGTCACTGAATTAGTAACAGGCACATACAGAGCTGTATGACCTGCTTTGAATTGTAAATGCTTTTAATGTGTATTTTTTAATATCTCTTATTTGCATTACTCGTTCTTCTTTGGCAGGAAGGCCTCCATCTCAAAAAAGACGTTAGATCTTTCCTTTATGGAATCTTGGATCTCATCTATTTTATTGACATCTTCTGAACTCGCTACCGCTCTGCATCTATGAAAAAAATGAATGAATATAAGATATAGATCAACAACATTTATTTTTTAACCAAAGCATATATAACACATAACTGACTCCTGCAGGGATTCGTTGAGATCCTTTAACTTTTTCCTCTGCCGTGCAATAGAAGAAGAACAGCTGTCCTGCAGTTTCGAAACCTCCTCCAGCTTTTGTTTGTAAAGTCGATGTGTCTCCTGTGCAACAAATATAGACATTAGAAATGTGCAATTGGTCAAAGACGTGAATATAGCAATATCATGAGGAACAGTCATTTAGATATTTTTGGTGTATTTAAAGTCAAAAAAGTTGGTTTAGGATTAAATTGCTAAGCAGCTAGTGATTAAAGCTGAAGCCTAACTATACAACCAGCTATTCATAGCGATACATCGAAATATTTGTAAAGAAAACAATTATGATGTATATAAAAACATTTAAAGACAGAAGAGTAAGGTCTCATAGTTCAGAGCTGTCCTGCTATCTGATTAGCACTAGAGAAAGAAAGACTCCACACCTGAACTTGTTGATAGTCTTTTTCCAGATCCTCCCATTCTTGTAAACATTCGTTTAAGCCAGTCGGGTTAAATAACATTTCCAGAGAGTGTATTTGATGAAAGGTTCCCAGATAAGAGTGAAGAGAATAACGGTCTGTTCTACCGTTCTCGGAGCGCCTCGCTATCTTTGACACATATCTGTCATCTGAACGCAGCTTCACAACAAGCGTAGCCAATCAGAGACGGACCCCGCGACATAATGAAACGCCCCTCCCTTAATCTGACCAATGAGCGCTTTCAAAACAAGACAGCTACATCAGAGACGCTATAGTCTACTCCAGTGAATCTCAACCTTTTGGCGTACCGGACCCCAGTCCAATTCAGAACCATCCTCAAGGACCCCCAGAACAAAATTGACTCGTATCATTTGTGTCTTTGTGAGGACCAAATGCAGTCAAGTATAATTCAAGTTAGCTGACTTGTCCAGTATTTGGCCATATCATCAGCTATATTGGAATTTTCTTTCATGGGAACATGTCATGTCAAATATACTAAATGTATACAAAAACTCATACTTTATACGGACCCCCTGGCCTTATGTCAAGGACCACTAGGGGTCCACGGACCCCTGGTTGAGAAACACTGGTCTACTCTACTGACTTCCCACAGACGCCAATAGAGCCAAATATACCAACTTTGAATAACCAGAGTTCAGTGTCAATGTTGAAATTGTAGACAGAACCTCTTATTAGGTCATAGGAATAATGGACTGGCAGAAAATTTTAAAAAGGTTTATTAAAATGACAGCATTCTTATTATACACAGTATATGTATAGCAACATATACAGTAAAGTGGAAGAAAATGCAGAGTAGTCGTCGTCCTCCTGTCTTATGACATAACCTGCTATTTTTAGTGGCATATATTATCTCAGACAATTATTTTGATGTCTTAAACACTATTTTAGGTAACAATTTACAATAAGGTTAATTATTTAACTACTTTAATTAACATGAACTAAGCATGAACAATACATCTACAGCATTTGTTGTGCTTGATAACATTAGTTAATGCACTGTGAATTAACATGAACTAACAATGAATTTTCATTAATATTAACAAAGATTAATAAACACTGTAATAAATGTATTGTTCATTGTTAATTCGTGTAAGTTAGTACGTTAACTAACATTAACTAATGGAACCTTATTGTAAAGCGTTAACAAAAAAATCATGTAATATTGTCTTTATTTTTATTATTATTATTTTCATGTAGCACAAATACAACCAGGATCTTATTTAAAGTGATGACATCAAACTGAAACAAATATATAAAAATAAATCAAATACCAATACAACACCCTAATTTGTCAAACGTAATATTACAGAAAATTGTATAATTATTTAACTAAATAAATATTTAATTTCAAAATAAGAAAGACTTCAAATGTAGAACATGCACTTTTTTGAACTCTCCTTTAGTGATGATTCAAATGAATCAGTTGTTTTGAACTGAACCATTATGAACTGTCTGAACGAATTAACTGATTCACTTAAAATTAATCTCCTCTCCACTCTCTGTTAATGATCGGGTATACAATGAGAAAAAGAATGAAAACTTGGTTTTACTCAATCCAATTAAATGTCCCACCAAAAACAACACTAATGATATGGAAGAGAGCAGGAGACAGGACTGACCTGTTCAGTACACTCACCGTTGAGATAGGGTGTGTCACAGAGCACTAGGAAGTCCACTATTGGATAGTCCATCTCTAACACTGTAATGGCTTTGCCATGCATGATGGTTAGGGTTAAACACTGTAATAAATGTATTGTTCATTGTTTGTTCATGTTAGTGAATACATTAACTAACACTAACTAATGAAACCTTATTTGTAAAGTGTTACCCAATTTTGTACATTCTAATATTGTCTAGTGCAGTGGTTCCCAACCCTGGTCCTTGAGGCACCCCAACACTGCACATTTTGCATGTCTCCTTTCTCTGACACTCCAGTTTCAGGTCTTAAGAGTCTCTACTAATGAGCTGATGACCTGAATCAGGTGTGTTTGATTAAGGAGACATGCAAAACGTGCAGTGTTGTTGGGGTGCCTCCAGGACCAGGGTTGGGAACCACTGGTCTAGTGTGTTTACGGGAAGTAGTTTATTTATAGTTTTTTTAAATATAATTTTTAATTAATATATGAATATTAAATAATCTATGATTCTGTATCATCTGTGACTGTAGAAAATCAGTGAATATGAATGTGCACATGATGTTTCTGTTAAATTTTGTTATTGTCAGTATTTGGGTTCAGATATATCTGTCACTCTCTTCCCAAGAGTCTGAAGTTCCCAGTCAGAAAGTTGCTGTACAAATCCTCGATTTGGCCTCATGTTGGCTTTGCACTGCTGAATATGAATCCATGCCTCCTAAAATATTCAGAAATGACAGGTAACAAATATTTTTAAAAAGCATCTGTCCGTAACATCTATGCAAACTGCAAATGCAAAAGTAAAAACATTACCTTTAGTGTGTATTTGAGGTGATGCATAAGATATGCCACTGTTACAGCACTGCATTGGCTTACTCCAAGAGTAGAGAATATCAGAACAGAAGAAGAAGTATTGAGATGTGAACCTGAAATGTTTAAAAGACCCACAATCATAATTGAACATCAGATTTTTTTTCTCTTTGATTTAGTGTTCATCCACTGGACAAAAAAATCTCCTAGTACTTACCAATAAAAACGCACATTCTCTCAAATGAAGCGATCAAATCTGCCTCTGCAGAATCTGCAATTCGGATGTGTAAAACAGTGCAGTTTGCCTTTTTAAACCTAGTTTGCAAAGTTCAGTTCATAGATTAATTTTGGTTTTCAGGCCATGGTAAGAACGGATTTTTTTTAAAAATACTATGATTACATACAATATATGAATATATATGAGATGGTGGGTTTGGCTCACATTAGACTGCATTCATCAGAGACATTGACAAGTGCATTCATCTTCAGATCTTTAAGGATTTGAAGGTTTGTGGCCTGCCTATAATCACCCATGTAAAGTTTGCCTGGCAAGATTTCCACAGGATAGGGATTGAAGCTCTCCACTTCCTATGAATATATGTATTTATGCCCTTACGAAAAATAAGTTTATTCAAGTGTGCTATTAGTATACATCTTTTAAACTAAAAATAGGAAAGTATACATTCAGTCTAATTTGATGTACTTCTCAGAAATATACTTTAAATGACATTTAAGTATACTTGACTTATACTTAGAAAAAGTCTGAATATATTTGAGCTATACTTGTGCTCTGAGAATCCCTGTTTTCATCGTTATACTGTAGGGGGCGCTAGTACACATCTTCTGTACAGAATTTCCAAAAAACACAAGAGAAGAAGAAACCGAAACAACAGATAATTCCGCATGTATTCTAACACGATCATCAGACACAAAACAGCATCAAAACTGTGCAACGTTATGGAATAAAATGTCGACCCATGAAGAGGTAATAATAACTGTCCAGCTTTGGGGTGTTGATCGACTCTATCTACGTTTTGATTATCATTCTGAATCCAATTCATAATCTTTTTTCAGCTTTTTGTTCAAAATCTTGTTTATTTCTTTATTTATAAAACTTACCCACATTCAAGTGTTTAAAAAAAGAATGCATGAAGCTAGAATACATTTTTGTTGTTTACAAGCAGATACCCTGTTCTTTCTTTTGATGTTTTGTATGTTCAGATATTCATATAGCAAAATATATACAAATTAATACCTAAATAAGGACGTAGTAGTATATTTAAAGTATGATGTAAAGTTCACTTAAAGAAAACTTACGAGTATACTTGTAGTATAAAACTACTAAACTAGTAGTTTACTGAGATTATACTTCAAAGTGTACTAAAATGCTACTACAAGTATTTCATTAGTAAACTATCAGTATACCTTTAAGTTCACTTTTAGTATAGTTTCAGTACAAGCTAAAAACATTGATGTAAACTAGTTGTGTACTCAAAGTTTACTATTGCTATACTTAAAGTATATTTAAAAGTATACTTTTATATACTAGAAAGTGGGCCAATTTAGTCCCAAGGAGTATTGAAATAGTACACTTAAGTATACTACTAGTACACTGATATTTGTATACTTACTACATAAAGTATACTTAAAAAATATACCTGAACTTTACTTAAGTATACTTAATAAAATAAACTTGAAGTATACTACTTTTTGGTAAGGGTGATCATTAAATATATTTATAAACAGCAAAAAATGCTTAATTTATGATCTATTTAGAATAATACCCTAATATTGTAAAGAATCTTTTGCATTCTTAGGAAATGGTAGAGTGCAGAAAACTTCTCATAGCCTCCACTAAGAATCTGAACTGGAAATTGGCTTTTTCTATGCTGTCTGCACAGTCTATAGCTGGACCTATAAGAAAAACATACAGTTAGGAGGTTTTCAGAGTTCAAAATGTTAGAAAAGGTAGTGTCTTACCTGAATCTGACAGAGAATGTGTACTACTGTCATAAACAATGATATACCTCATACTTTCAACCTCAACATCCAAGGGCATAATAAACTTCCCATCAGAATCCTTTGAAAAGCAAGAAAAGCCAATGAAAAGTGATGTTTTTATATTCTACAATGTTGCAAAACAGGATATAAAAAACATAAACTTTAGGGGAGGAAAAAAAACATGAAATTGAAACATTTCTGGCAGTAATGATGTGGCTGAAGTTATATGATTCTGCTGCACAGGCATCTGAAAAATAGGATTATTGTTACAATTATACTTTCACTTTCATTTGTGGGTATTTGAATTAGTACAGTAAATGTACAGCCAGGGATTCAGTTCTAAGGAATCACTTCTTAATTCTTACATTACATTCTTACTAATCAGACAAAGATAGTTGCTCTCTGCAAGCCTTGGTAGATGAGTGTATTGATTCAGGATGTTGTACAGTTCTGATGCCTCACAGAGAACCTTTCCAGCCATTAGTTACAGTTTGAGCACATAAAATGTTAATGCTAATGGTTAGGGAGTCGGACTCGTAACCCAAGGTTGCGGGTTCGAGTCTCGTACCGGCAGGGATTGTCGGTGGGGGGTGAATGTACAGTGCTCTCTCCCACCTTCAATACCACGACTGAGGTGCCCTTGAGCAAGGCACCGAACCCCCAACTGCTTCCCGGGCGCCGCAGCAAAAAAAATGGCTGCCCACTGCTCCGGGTGTGTGTTCGCTGCTGTGTATGCACTTTGGATGGGATAAATGCAGAGCACTAATTCCGAGTGTGGGTCACCATACTTGGCCTCACTTCACTTCACTTATTTTACTTGGCGTTTTGAAATATTACTGCTCCGAAATGTTTCTTAAACCAAACTATACTGATTTATTGTTATTGCTTACGCTGAAATAACACGCTCTACTGCTCACTGATGATTGTTTACGCTCCTGCTGCTATGGTAACAGACAAACCGCTGCAGTGATCGACGCAAAGCCTTTCCGTCTTCCTTAACCAATCAAAAGTTAAAACCCGCCCCACCGCGCTTCAGCTGCGCTCCTATTGGAGGGTAAACAATAAGGAACTATTTTCAAAATCAGGCTTACAGCTGTCAGCAGCTGCGGATATGCCTGGATTCAGGGTATGTTGTTACTATTAGCTACTTAAATCAATAAATAATGAATCATTAAACGATGTGTAATTCCTTTCCAGGGCCTCGGCGGTGCCTTTCAGCGGCGGAGGAAGAGAAATGGCAGTAGTCGACGCTGGGCCATAAAGAGCAAGAAGCTACTTGGGACTCCTGCCATACCAACGGCCCCTGTGTGAGCAACTGTATCATTTTTATATCCACAAAAACAATGCCTGTAAATACAGTGCTTTCATAAACACTTACAGTATAGTTTAGGATTGTTGTACCACATATCATGTACCAAGTATATATATACTTTGATATACTAGATATTTACATTTAATCCACAAGACAAAATAATATTTGCTGTAGAAATGTCAGTTATGTAGTATTTAAAAAAAGCATGAACACTTTTTATCCTCATTTTGAAGACTTAAAGGGATTCTTGACCCAAAATGACAATTCTTTCATAATTTACTCACCTTCGTGTTGTTCCAAATCTGTATGACTTTCTTCTGTAAAACAGAAAAGAAGATATTTGAAGAATAATGTTGGTGACCAAACCGTTTTGGTGCCCATTGACATCCATTGTATTATAAACTGAGGCATTTCTCAAAATATGGGTAAACTATCCCTTTAAGACTTTGAAAATAAAAAGGCTTATGAGCTTAACTGTATATCTACTATATATATACTTAACTTTACTTTCTGGTAATGCTTTCACCCAGTCCAGACAACAAAACAAAGGTGGACACTATGGAGGAGACGAGTGTTCAAACCACTAAACAGCTGTCTTCAACACTAAGTATTGGAGCTCTGTTTTCTGCATTTGGAAGTGTTGTGCAAAAATGCGGAAAGACAATTAATCAAGTAAGTTTTTCTTTTTTTTATTAGAGTTGAAAAAAGAAAGAGCTTTCCAATGTTTGACCAGCTTATTTTTTTAGACCTGTTTTGGACTCCTGAATGTCTTCTTTTTCTGGAGAGGCTATTCCGAAAGAGTGGAGTCCCTTCACCTAAAAGTAGAGGAGCTGCAAAGGGAAATAACACTATTGCATTCCACTTTGAAGGTTAGAACATTTCAGCTATACTGAAAAGAATGTTCTTTAATTATTTTCATTTCCATTGCTTGTAAAGTGTATAAAATATTACTTGATAGCTGTATCGAGAAGCCAAGACTGCAGGCGGTCAATGTGAAATGCCTGATGGTGTTCAGCACTCAACACCTCCGCCTGTCTCACTTCCACCTCCACCACCACCACCTCCTCTTCCTCCTCCTCAAATTCTGTTGACACTTGCTGCTCCGAAAGTGGCCTCAATTCCCCTAAAAACGGCTCAAACTACCTCTGTGAAGGTAAAAGTTTATTTTTCAATTCACTTCACTTTGGTTGTTGAGAAGACAAGTTATGAAGGTTTGCACCATTTTAGGTTTTGCACTAATTTTCCTCCTGTCCCCTAATAGGAGAAAAAAAATGGCCCGGTTGCTTTGACTCTTCGAGATCTTCAAGCTGTACGACTAAGAAAAGTGACTGAAGGCCAAAAAACTCAGGCGAGTGACAGATTGTGTCCTCAGCTTTTCCAATGAATCCTGCATTGAGTCGATATTTATGATGGCATATTTGTTCACAGGTGTCTCCAAAGAGAAGATCATCACCACTGGTCACACTTGCAGACTTGCAGAAAGTCAGTTTGCGACGCTCTAATTCTGACCTCCCCTTAAAGTCTAGATCAAGCCTTGGCAGGTGAATTTCGGCATAAATAAATTTATTTATTTTACATTTTACTTTAAAGCAATACATTCACATTCATGCTACATCATTTGTGATCTTCTCTGTAGGACTGTCTGTAGGACACCAACCAAAAATCCCATGAATCTTCGGGTACAGCTTCGAAAAGTCAACTTAATGAGGCAAGATCACTTTTACTTTGTATTGTTGGAATCCGAGCCAAGACATGCCTAAAACTACAGACATCACATCTAGCTAAATACTTCTCATTTGCTGTATTCTTAGGAGTCCTGGTGGCACACCGCTGTTTAACAAAGAGAATGCTGTGATGGATTCAAGCCTGGATCCAAGCATGACCAGAGAGGGTTAGGAAACACGTACCTGGTATGTAAACAGCTTTATCCCAAAACGAATCACAGAATTTATTATTTTAAGGTTCTCTTTGAGACTGCTAGTTTCATTTTATTGAAAGATAATTTTATTTAACAAATAAATCATGAATTTATGGCCTGAAAATAATTTGTCATTCTTTTTCATTCTTTACAGAGTGCTTTTACAAAAGAACTATCACCACTCAAGACTGTCTAAACAAAGATAATTACTGTTTGTTATTGCACATTGTGTTTTGCATGGCCAGTCTTGTGTGTGTCAGTTTGTTTTTTTTTTGCCTTATTTTTATATGTATACTGTGACTCTGCTAATAGCTTTGGTTCTCATACTGTCATGTTACTATAGTGACATGACTGTATTTGATGTTACTTGCTGCTATGTTATTTTATATACTTGTTGCATGTGAAGTGTGCTTATTGCTCCTTTTATATCAGAACCCCCTTTTTAAGAAAAAATGCTAATAACAAATGCAGACTGTATGAAAATTAAATGCACATCAGCGTGTGGTTAATATGGTTAACTGTATAATTAGTAGAACTACATAACTGAACATGCAGTTCAGTGTCACTGTTACTGAATATGACTGTGTATATAGTAGTACTTGATACTGTGTTGAAGTCTGTACAGGGGTGAGACAAGTCAGTTATTGGTCTATAAATTCAATAATCCATTGATAGCTTAGGTGTGGGGTAAAACGTGAAGCACAGATAATAACTAGTCCTGTTATTGTGAGACCCAGGATGTGTTTTTTTCCATGTTATACTCTATGTTTACTGGTGGGCTTGAGGTGTAACACCCAATTAAATGTTACCGTGTCTTAATGTTTTATTGTAAGGGTCTTTTGCAATATTAGGCTAAAACCACTTTTATTTGCATGTAAAAACAATTGCAATGAATAACAAACTTTTAATAAATATTGGATCTACAGAAAATGTGTAAGTGTTTTTTAATTTCCAGTACAAATAAGTGCATTTAGATGAAGACAAAATAAATGTTCGATTTCTGGCTTAGTATTTAATAGTTGGCCTAGTATACATTATTTATATACACTTAAAGTATTTATTAATATATATTCATTATTATTTCTATTTAGCTTTTCATTTTTAGACATTGTAACTACAGCTTAAACTGGCAGCATTTCTAATTTTCCTTTAATATTTTATCTAATAATTGGAATATTTTTTTTTTTACTATTATTTAAATTCTATTATAGTAATCACCAATATTTGGAATTAGCATTTATTCCTATATTTTGTTTTCATCCTAATTTTAGATGCAGTTACTTTGTGCTTTTTTTAAAAAAGTTTTTCTATTTCTATTTAACTTTATGTTTTAGTAATTTTAATATTTCAACCTAATCTTATTTTAGTTTGCTGCTAAGGCAACAATTTAAATCTAATATTCATACTTTATTTTAATGACCGAAAACTTTTTTTTTTTTTTTTTTACAGTTTTAGGTTTGGTGAACAATAACAACACCGCAGACTTATAAGACTATTACTATTTACATATTGCACTTTCCATGCTTTTTGTCCGGACATTAACTTGCAGATTAATGTACCCACCCCGACTCTTCTTTTGTGCTCGCAGAAATGCGTTCATCAAAGCCCCGCCCATTTGTTTCTGTCCAGCAAAAATGGCGGTTCCAATGAATATCAGAGCTCTGTTACAGTCAGAAATAATCGAAGACACCGTGGACAAAGATGAGGGTATTTGCGTATTGGGCATATTTGGGAAAAGCGCAATGCAACCGGGATCAGATAAAGACTCTCTCATAAACACCTTAGCAGATAAACACGTCTTCTCTCTCTTTGGGAGCGACGACACTGACAGTCCGGGTGGGGGAACATCGATTCATGCGTATTATAATCAGGAGAACCGCGTGCTGTATCTCGTATTAACATCTGTTTTTGACAACCGCCAGCTTATTCGCGCGTGCGAGTCATTGACAGCGGGTTTGGGTCATGCAGAAGCGCATGAGTTTTGGAAAGCAGCAGAGAAGGATCACTGTTTGCAGCTGCTGTATCTCTTCTCGCTGTGCCATGTTCTTCTGCTGGTTCATCCCACATGTTCGTTCGACGTCACGTACGATAGAATGTTCCGCGCTTTGGACGCGCTACGGCAGAAAGCACTTCCACTGCTGCGCGCTGCGATTAAAGATTCGCCAGTATCTAAAGAATGGAAGTTAAACTGTCGGCCGTGCCCTCCACGCCTGCTGTTCGTGTTCCAGATGAACGGAGCGCTCAGAGTGGGCTCCTCTGGCACTGGTGGAAATGGGACTGATGGCTCTGGAGGGGATAAACCCAAAAAACACTCCCCTAGAAGGCGACTGCAGCATGCTCTGGAAGATCAGATATATCGGATATTCAGGAAAAGTCGTGTATTGACCAACCAGAGTAGTAATTGTCTCTTTACAGTGCCTGCCAACCAAGCTTTTGTATATGTAGTGCCAGGACCAGATGAGGACCCCATCGGCTCTCTTCTGGGGCACCTGCGGTCCAACTGCGTCCTGCGAGAAAGTGAAGGCAGCACGCCTGTGCCCAGGCAAAGGCGGTACCAACAGATGAGGTACTCTAATAGACAGCCCTCTTTCAATGTGGAAAGCAGTCTTTCCTCAGGAGGGCAGCTGGTGGACTGCACTTTAAAAGAGTTCCTTTGGCAGCACGTCGAACTCGTATTGACCAAGAAAGGTTTTGATGACAGTGTAGGTCGCAATCCGCAGCCATCACACTTCGAGTTGCCTACTTATTCCAAATGGGTGCATGTTGCGCACAGACTTTATCAGGTCATGATAGAGAACAGTGAGGATGACGCAGCCGAGATTTCCCTCAAGGTGCAGGGTCAGCTCAAAGTGCTGGAGGGGTTCCTTGACGCAGATGCGAAGTTCTCGGAAAACAGGTGTCAGAAAGCCTTGCCACTGGCTCACAGTGCGTACCAGTCAAACCTTCCCCATAATTACACCACCACAGTGCACAAGAATCAATTGGCGCAGGCACTGCGAGTGTACAGTCAGCATGCGAGGGGAGTCGCCTTTCAAAGATGTGCCTTACAGCTCCACGAGGATTGCTACAAGTTCTGGAGTAACGGCCATCAGCTCTGCGAGGAGCGCAGCCTTACGGATCAGCACTGCGTGCACAAGTTCCATCTGCTGCCAAAGCCAGGTAAAGATCCATGTTTTAAAAGATCTATACAGATCCATTTTTTTCTGTGTGAAGAGCAATTTTTGTTTCATGGTATATTGACGAAAAATTTACTTCTTTCTAATTACCTCTGTTTTTTCTTCAAATTTCAGGAGAGAAACCAGAAATGGACCACAACCCGCCTATTCTATACCACAATAGCAGGGGTCGCTCTACAAGTTCCTGTAACTGTGGTAGGAAGCAGTCTCCAAGAGAAGATCCATTTGACATCCAGGCTGCCAACTATGACTTCTATCAAGTCAGTAGCTTGAAGGTTTTTTTCCACCATAAATATTCACTACACAAGCTTTAAATCTGTTCTTCGTCATTCTGTCTTTCATTCTCAGATCCTTGAGGAGAAATGCTGTGGAAAGTTGGACAGGATCAATTTCCCAGTGTTCCAAGCCAGCACACCCGACCCTGCTCCTGCCAGTGATGAAGTGCCCAGACCTGGAGAGGTTCCTCCATCAGGGGAAGCTGATCGTCTAAAGGAGAAAGAGACTAGCACTCACACACCTGGAGATAGCACAAGTTTGAGTCTCGCTCTTAGCTTGGGCCAGTCAACTGACAGCCTTGGAACATATGGTGATGGAGCAGAAGGACAAGAGAAGAGGCCAAGCTTGGTGGACAGACAGCCCTCCACAGTGGAGTATCTCCCCGGGATGCTTCATTCTGGATGCCCGAAGGGACTGTTGCCCAAGTTCTCGAGTTGGTCTCTTGTTAAACTCAGTCCAGCTAAGGCCTACAACAGCCTCACTGGTTTAGAGCAACCTGGATTCCTCCCGGGCTCCGCTTTCCTCTTACCCTGGGATGTTGTCATTCGGAGCCGATCAGAGGAAGATGTAGGATCGCTTGAGCCTCTGGACGGAGGACCAGCCTCCTGGCCAGCACCGAATAAAGCATCCGCTGGAAAGCGAGGCAGTGCTGGAGGAATCGGACGAGGGCGTAGACGGGATGATGTAGCTCGTGCTTTTGTTGGTTTTGAGTATGAGGACAGCAGAGGGCGCCGCTTCTTTAGTTCTGGCCCTGATAAAGTAGTCAAAGTGCTTGGGCAAGGCGGACCAAAGGAACCTGCAACCAGATGCTTGAATTCTGATATGCCTTTATACATTCCCTCTCCAGCTCAAGGACGAGGGATCAAGCCACACTATGCTCAGCTGGCTCGTCTTTTTGTCGTCGTCCCTGATGCTCCTCTTGAGATTGTTCTAAATCCACAGGTATAATATGTTAAAAAGTGCAACATCAGTAAATTTTAATCGCAAACTGAAGTATTCACAATGATTGCTACCCACATTTTCTCCATTAAAGTATACTGTTCTGTGCTTTTCTTCTATGTTAGGTCCAGCCAGGTCCCCCTCCCTGTCCTATCTTCCATCCGGAGCAGCCTGAGGTGGTGCTGCCCCCTGATGGACTCTGGGTGCTACGCTTCCCTTATGCCTACGTGACAGATCGTGGACCATGCTACCCTCCAAAGGAGAACCAGCCACTGGCCAACTTCAGGGTGCTGAGAGGCATTCTGCGTGCCAACACGACTAGTTCAACTCCACAGTAACAAAAAACACTCTGCACTTAAAAGCACTGTTGTGATATCTGTAGGACAAGGACATTAAGCATCATTTTGGTGTCACCATGCTTCTTTTCATTTTCTGTGGCGGTTCTTTTTTTAATCCAAATTCTAGAAAAAATTGTGGCTGTAAATACAAGCAATCAAATTAAGGAATGTTGTGCTTATGGTAAATAAATACCTGCATTGAGAAAAACTGACAGTGAAAAATGTCATTATTAAACTATAATATTTTAAACTGAATTAACTTTTTAAATGTTTTAAATGTGTATCCAAAATAGTGTCCACTCTGGATTTTCTGTTTGCTGTTGACTTTTTGAGGTTGATGTTATAAATTATTTTACCTGAGTCAAATTAAATTAAATCTCATAAAATGCTTAAACACTTGTTCATTAGAAAGAATGTAAAAATATCAATCTATTATTGTCGAGGTTTTAGATATCAGTCTATTACGGTTTCTATTATGGTTTTTACATAAAATAGCTCGTAAAAACGACACAGAGAGGCGCTATTTGGTTATCTGCTCTGTCTAAAGTAATTATGAATTGGTACATCTTTGACATTCTCAAGTGAAAAAATACAGAGTGACAACTGTAATATCTTATAGGTACTTAATATTTTCTAAGTTTCAAGTCATTTAAGACTTTTTAGTTTTTATTACTTATCCAACTGGCACATCACAAAGATAACATGTTTTTTTTTTGCCTGCATATCCTCTGAGCTCGCTAATAGGTCCGTCCACTTTTTAGGTTGGCCAATCAGCGTATTGTTGCTAGGCCGTTTTGTCTCATCTATTTGCTGGCCTGGCTGTCAATCAAATTGGGAGCTTGTATGGCGAGGCCCGATGCGCAGCTGGGCTGTGTTTACAGAGCGCTGCTCTCGAGGCGCGTGGCTGCTGAGGATACCTGCAAACTTTGTGTTGTGAGGAATGATCGCCTGCTATTTTGCACGAACTTGCAGTTTTAAAGAGGTTGACAGCTCGAACAGCGCGATACCTTTCCATTCTAAGGTAAGATCAGTCCAATTATAATGCTTTTAATGTCACCTTTTATAGGAAGTTCGTCTTCTTAAAACATTACGTTTGTTATTGATTATCTTGCATTATATGACAGCACACTAAAAATGAACCTAGTAAATTCTGAGAATTTATATTTTAGTTGTAGATTGGATCTCAATGCCAGTGATAGATGCTAATCTGGATTGAAAACGTTATATATACAGAATGCATCATTGCATAGTTAAAATGTAAACAATTATGACTGTTCCGAAAGTGTTGCTTTAAATCTAGATTATTATAGAATTATATGCCACTAACACACTACCAGCAAATATTGGTACATTAAGAGAAGAAAAAAAACTGTTTATGCACGAGTCATTGGCCATGAACACAAATTGTATGTTGTCAGGAAGTTTTTTTATTAATTTAACTATAATTAAAAAAAATATATACAAGTGCATTTTTATATTTTGCAAATTAAAGAAATCTTTTCCTTTTCAAATATATGCTGTTTTGCATGAAAATTGACTTGCAAAATAGTGAGAACGCTGTCATGCTACTCATATTGCATAATAAACTATTTAATTAACATTAACATTGCAAGCAGCTCCACAAGATCATTGCTTATCTCTGAGAACACTTGCTTATGCATAGCATGTTTCATAAAAATAAGCAACAATGTAAGTGTATTTATGCAAGTACAGAATAACATAACATGCACATATACACATACACTTACATTGTTGCTTATTTTTATGACACATGCTATGCATAAGCAAGTGTTAGATCACTTAAATGAAAGTGTGGCTATTTAATATTTTGCAGTATTTATATTGTGTACTGTTTTGTTATTACGAGGCAAGCGAGTGACACAGGCTTGTTGTCATTTTAAAGCTGGCTTTTCTGAATCGGTTTAGCTGTTTTCAAGGATGTGATTGCCAGAGGTGCTGAGCTGGTGCTGCCATCTGCACTCTCAGTTTGGTGGTATCTACTATGGCCTACATAGAAGCTGGTTCACTGATACCCACACATACTTGTCTGACCTGGATCCATCGCACTGTCTCTCCATCTGATTCACTCTGTTTCCAACACCGTTGCCTTAAGTAGCTTTGCACATTCATGGGTATTTCTATTGCTTTATGCTGTTAGAATATGGACTGAGCTTGAGAGGTTATTCTTAAGGATGAATGCACAAAGTGTGCCTTTTCAAAGCCGGTAGATTAATTTAGAGGTAATTTGAGATTAAAAATTAATTGAGTGTTTTTTTTTTTTTCGGGATTGTATTTTCTCTGGACTTGGCTCTCAAATGCAGTTTGCATATTAAAATTATGCAATTATAATTTAAAATATTAAAATGTTATTTTTAGTGTGCATTTACTAATCAATATGGATCCTTTTAAAGAGCCCCTTGTATTTGTGTATTATTGCAATTATGTTAACAGGGACACTGTAAAATAAAGTGTTAATCCATCAGATGTATAACCGACAATTTAGCTAAATGGAGCTAAATATCACAGCTTATGTGTGTACGCAGCAGGGGCTTTTTAATTTGTGCTGACAGATTTCAAAGGACAGCAAAAAAAGTTGTTATTATGGGAGCTGCTTGCTGTGTATTATGTGAGGGACCGGGGGGAATGAGGGGGGATTCGCCACCTGTCCGGGGGTCCTTGTCGGTTTAGATGCCCTCTTACTGATTAAAATGCTCGAGACCTTTCATTAGGCTCTAGTTTAAACAAGCAAAACAAATAAAGCCATTTATTAAAAGCAGATATTTTGCTGATGTACCTGCTGCACCATGTGTTTTTGTTACATAACAGGCATTTTATTGAAAACGGGTTTATCTGATTTGTGTTCGTGTAATACTTTGGGACGGAGATGGTATTGATTTATGATTTATATAATGCTCTTGAATACAGCCCATGTGTGTTCCTGAGTTTATTAGGGAAACCTTTGCTATTTTACTTGATATATGCATACATAAACAAGAAAGGAAACAAAAAACTCCATTGTCGTCTCAAGGGTTACCTATCTTTAGAATTATTCAGGGTCTAACCACCATAGACATTAATGGAATAGTTCACCCAAAAATGAAAAATGAATGAAAATGTACTCCCCCCTCAGACCATCTAAGATTTAGATTAGTTAGATTTTTCATTGGAACAGATTTTAAGAAATTTAGCATTATATCACTTGCTGGCCAATGCAGTGAATGGGTGCCGTCAGAATGAGAGTTCAAACTGCTGATCAAAACATCACAGTCAGAGCCATCCTTAGGACGGGTGCTTGAGGGGGCCCCGCGGCGAACGGACCAAGGGGGGAATCACCCAACCTCCCCCAGGGACGCGATCGCGAACAGACCGATGCGGGCCCCGCTCCCTACCTCGCACCGGGCCCTGTGTCAGCTAAGGACGGCCCTGCTCACAATAATCCACAAGTAATCCACACAACTCCAGTTTATCAATTAACATCTTGTGCAGTGAAAAGCTGTGTGTTTGTAAGAAACAAATCCATCATTTAACTTTATACCGTTATTTTGAAATAGAGGACTCCGCTGGAAGCACCCATTCACTGCAGAGGATCCATTAGTGAGCAAGTGATGTAATGTAAATTTTTCTAAATCTGTTCTGATGACGAAACAAACTTATTTGCATCTTGGATGACCTGAGGGTGAACTATTCCTTTAAGGGAAATGCGTTTCTCCTGATATTCAGCCATAATTGCAGTCTTGGTTTTGTTACAGCAGTCTGTATTAGATTTGTTTGTCAAGTCGTCAACTGTGTGGTCAGAAGAGGGAAGATCAGCCAAGATCAGACATTTGATGAATGAGATCTCTTCATTATGTGTGTGTTTGGTCTGCTCCAGACTAATTTGAAATGGTAAACACACAAAGCAGACAGAGACAAATTGGGCACCATTTCTGTGATTATGGCCTCAGTAATTATACTGGCGACAACCGTTTATCTTCATCTCATCTGTCGAGATCCGAATTAATTCCAACCTCTGCATTTTCCATAAATTTCCCCCATAATTGTTTTACCTCCAATTAGCCTTATACCAGCGACGTATCTATTCTTTGTCGATCTTGTATAATTGTGTTTGAAGTTGCATGAGGAAATGATTGAAAATAATGCTGCTGTATCATTTGGCCAAATTATACAGCATTTTTAATGGAAGAGCGAACACAACGGTGCTTAATTATGCCAAGGAGAGTCCAATTTCAAGCCTCACGCTGATGACTAGAATACTCTCCGGCTGTATTCTTGTAAGGCCTGTTTAATCGCATCAGTGCCAAAGCAAATGTAATCACAGAATCGCAAATAGCTTCCAAGGAAACCTTACTTGCAGCCTTTTATGAGTTGTCTAATTCAATTTGCTGAGTCACTGAGTTCATGTGGTATCTGAAAAGAATTTTATTCTTTTGAGTTTTTCTCACAGTCATGCTATCCACGTGGCTTTATTTGTATGGTAACACTTTACAGTAAGGTTTTTGTTTATCCATTAGTTAACATCAACTAACTAAGATTAATAAATGCTGTAGAAGTACCGTTTATTGTTAGGTAATGTTATACATTACCTATGAATACAAATTGTATTATACAATGGGGAAAAAAAACATTTAAACATTTGTTCTTTTCTAAATATGTGCTTTATGAGCTCAGCAGGGTTTTTTGCTGACTTTGCTGAGTCACAACGGCCAACGAATGCTTTTGTTTATGTGATAATTATGTCGGTTTGCAGAGATGTGGTTGGAATTCAAATATCTAATGATGACACTCACAAGACCCTTTTTCGATCTCACGAATAGCTGTCCGCGCTTCTAGGTAATTAAATGAGATGCCTGCGGATTCTTTTAGTAATTAGTTCTGTCTTAAATCTCGTCCAGAGCTGCTGCCTCAACAGGCGAAAAGCTGCCAACATGCCACGATGACGTAAAAGAGGGCACCCAATAAGTCAGAGTGCAAACGTATTAATTGAATTCAGAAAATCACAACAAATGAGTGTGACCTGAAGGGTTAGTTCAGCCAAAAATCGTTAACTTGTCCAATCGTTAACTTATTCCAAACCTGTATGACCATAAAGTGAAAGCAAATAGGGTGACCAGAGGCTGTTAATCTCAAATAAAGCACAACAAAGCACCATAAAAGTAGTTCATTTGACTTAAACTATAAGATTGTAGCACAGCAATGTAGGGAAAATTTGAATTAAAGTATGACAATCTCAATTTTGGTCTCGTTTTCACAAAAATGAAATTATGCCTTGAAATATAATGCATGAACTGCTCAACATTGTGTCTATATGGATTTGTTTTTTTAATCTAACCACATTTTATTAGGGATGAGTCAAACAAACGAGTGTTGAAATCATACGCGTTTGGTTGTCTGGCTGTCTCTGTGTTTGAGCCCACATCATTGGCAGGTCTCCAGTTCTCTGCATTAATAAGCCGCCTCTCATACAGCGCAGCCCCTTTCTAACCCGAGGGCAGGATGAACGCGGGACCACACAGTCACAGTTACCTGACAGACAACAGCTCACAGACGCTCTGATTCATGCCTATTTGCACCGTGTTCTTGTGAATGACGTCTGCTGCGTTCACTGTCTGTGTCTCGCTGACGTACACTGTTTTCAACTCCGCACGTGACACCAAAAATTTATGAATACACTGTAGGATTCTTTAATATTTGTTCATCCTTTATATCTTCATACATTCATTTACATAGCTACAACATGTCAAGCTTGTCTTAAAGGGTCCTGTATGCTTTTGTAACTTTTTTTTCATGAATATTTTCTCTTTGATACTTAAACTGGCTGTATTTGCAACTGCATTTTAAAGACTATAATATGTAAATTCAATATTTTGTGTTTTGATATGTACATGCATGCGCTTATATGTTAATATTCTTATGGCAGTGGTGTCATGATGATTTCTAAATTACCTACACTACTGGTCAAAAGTTTTTTTTTTATGCTTTTGAACTAATAGCATTTATTTGATATGAAGTATGGTAAAAACGTTCATGTTGGGAAATATTATTACAATTCAGAAGAACCGTTGTTTATATATATATATATATATATATATATATATATATAAAAAATATAATTTATTTTTTATTTTTTATGTAATTTATTCCTGTGATGACAGATGGATTTTCAGCTGCCATTACTAGCTGGAAATTTCAGAAATAATTTTAATATGCTGATTTGGTGCTCAATTATTATCAATTATCATTGGTACACAATTATTAATAATGGTATTGTCATCGTTGAAAACAGTTTTTGCTGCTTAATATTTTTGTGGAAGTCATCTTTTCAGGATTTTATGATGAATAGAAAATTCATAATAGCAGCATTTATTTGAAGTAGAAATCTTTTGTAACATTATGAATGTCTTTACCGTCACTTTTGATCAATTTAATGCTTCCTTGCTGAATAAAAGTATTATTTTTATAATTATTTTTTAAATCTTACTTACCCCATACCTTTTGACCAGTGTTTTTTTAAAGTTATTTTTTAGTTATTTTCCTAAATAAGTGTGTGTGTTCCCCACAGGTGTGCTCTCATCTCTTCTTCTGAAGCTTCACCACGGCCCTCACCTGCGTGCTCCACTGTTTCTCCTGTGAGTCGTCCTGGGCTGAGCGGCCCTTCCTGCTGCGCCCCCGCGCCGTCTCTCCCGCCACGGTCGCCATGACGCGCTCCAAAACCTTTCAGGCCTACCTGCCCAACTGCCATCGCACCTACAGCTGCATTCACTGCCGAGCACACCTGGCCAACCATGATGAGCTCATCTCAAAGGTAAGCAGCAGTGTCTCTTTTAGGCTCTTTTATCTTAATCATAGACCTTAATCAGGTTAGACACCGTATTGTATTTTACGCAGATGAAAACGAGGCTGTGAGAGATAGACTTACAGTCTTTACAATGGTATGCGATGTATAAAGTCCTAGTAATTTTCAAAACTGTTTTATGGATTTTTGTCAATTGAAAGTCTTCGGTAAGATGTTTTGTCAGCTGAACAATCGGTATGTTCTGTAAAAACACTTCTGTACAATCTATCCTAATGGACTTCCTGTTAAAGGGTCATGAAACATTGTGAACACTGGGATTTTCAGATGAGTTGTTGTAACTGTGTCAAAATGTATGTGTATTTGTAACATGAGCTTAAAAAGTGTTTAATAATTTTTAATATATTCATGTATATTGCATTATATGTATATATTATGTATAGCCTACCGCTGGAGAGTTAAGAAATCTTTTTTTTTTTTTTTTTAACTGTGTCAAAATGTATGTGTATTTGTAACATGAGCTTAAAAAGTGTTTAATCATTTTTCATATATTCATGTATATTGCATTATATGTATATATTATGTATAGCCTACCGCTGGAGAGTTAAGAAATCTTTTTTTTTTTTTTTATATATATAATTTTGTTCAGTAAGGACTTATTAAATTGATCAAAAGTGACAGTAAAACTGACATTTTTAATGTTTAAAAAGATTTCTATTTCAAGTAAGGTCAGTCTGCCGATTCAGAGCCGGTCCGTTTTGTTTTACACCCACATGCGAAATGTTTATGTTGTCGGCATGAAGAAGACACAAAGTTCGCAATTTGTTATACGTGTAGGGCCAAAGTAAACAGTGGGGAGCCACAGGGCTCAATTAACGCTTGTCTGGGACAAGTAGTTTTTTTAAAGGCCAGTGAGAGAGAATATTACTTGCCCGACCAGACAAGAAGCCTGATTAAAACGTCAATAACAAACGTAACTAGGGAAGCACTGACACTTTTGAAATTTTTTGCACGAGAATGATTCTGATTTTATCGCATTCATTGTAAACGGCTATTGATAATATGTTTATGTTGTGCCAGATGAGGCTCGCAAGTGAGAGAGAGACTTGTGCAGAAATCAAAACAAATGAGTGCAAAAGCACACACAAAGTAACTCACAGGAAGTTATAGATGCATACTGCGGTTGAAAAAAAAAGACATTTATAATATATAAGTAAGCAACATTACACGACTAAGATGTTTCCCTGAATATCAACATAATCGCAATGTTACACTGATTTTATACAATAGTAGTTCAATAAACAAGAAGTTAAAATTAAGTGACTTACATTTTAGACACAATATTGACTGCTTCTGCTCAATTTCGCAAACAAAAATAGTTCCACTCAAAGCCACAGCAGAACTGTTGTGTTACTCCCAGCAACACAGTAGTTTTTTGTTTATGAATGAATCCACGTTTTTGAACGGATCGAGTGAGTCAATGATTCAGAAACCCAGTCATAAAGACGTGCGCTGTGTTTGAAACCGCATACATCCCTACTATATAGTAGGCAAAAAGCAAATAAGTATGTCCGAATCCTTAGTATTCATAGAAGAGTAGGCGAGAATTACCTGCATGGTGTACTAATTCTCACGAGATTTGGACATGCGTATACTTAAGTTGCGTTCGAATATGCCTACTTGCCTACTAAATATTAGAAGAAAAGAGTATACGTGAAAAGAGTAGCATGTCCAAAACCGTAGTATTCATAAAAGAGTAGGCAAGAAATCCCTGGATGTCCTACTGCTTCAGTCCAAATTCTGAAGTGCTCGTCCGATGGACACTTTTCTATCCCAGGAGGCCACAGCAGAGGATACGTCAAAATTGAACAGGATGGAGAACAGCGACGTGGGTGTTTTCAAATGTGAGTATTAGAAACCAAAAACACGCATTTGTTGAGCTACTGTAGAGTAAACTGTTGAACCGTCGAAGATGTAAAGATGCTAAATAGTATAGTATCTTTGTGATTTTGCTGTAAAAACGTTTTATGTATAGTGAACAGGGAAGCTCCAGGAAGCACACATACGTCTCCTAAGTGCATTTACATAAACCATATACATCTTAACGATGCTTACTTAATGTCTATTTAACATCTGACAGGAAAATGTTTGATAAGAATTGCAGATGAGCACATCTGATAGCCATGAATTAGACATGTGAGTGAGTGATGTATGTGTGCTATTATGTAGTAGAATTCACTGTTGTCAACACTGCTTTAGCTGAATGTATGTAAATAACCATAAAGTAACTAAACATGAGTTTTCTATTTCATTTGTCCATTAGTACAGTTGATAATTTGAGGAGCATTTGTGTTGGATAAAAAGAGTTAACACATCACAACATAACTACCTCAACATTTAAATGTAGTATTGAGCACATAAATCACAGAGGTGACTTGAGTCTTGTCTGGATGTTACAGATGAGACACACGTGTGTTTATCCAGTGCAGAGTGACTGATGAAGGAATGTTGCCGTCAACGGCTTTGAGTGAGTATACTACAGAAATGAATAAAACATATTTTTAAACCTTAATTGTAATAATCAATTATTGTAATTTCAAACAGAGTTATTACAGGACTTCTGATTCTTGATTTCTGTGCTGTTGCTGCAGAGCTTTTGTGGTGGAGCAGGGCCTGCAAGGAAAGGTGACGGCAGCATTTGTGGGAAAAAAAGGGGAAAACCTAAAGCAAAAATATAAAGTAAGATAATTTTGTTACTTTTAATACAGAAATGAAATGACACTGTGCTGTTAAAATGACTGCTTTTGTATTATGTTTGTGCATTTTTTTTGTAGGATCTGAAATGTCCGCAGATTGGTGTGTGTGCACTGAGGATGGGGAGTCCACAGCAGCATCCTGGAAATGGTCTAGTGCCATGGATGAGACCCTCCATCACTCCACCTGCCCTTGTTACCTCATCTGGACCAGATGTTGCTGTGGTCTCTTCATCCTTCGTGAGCCCAGAGCCAGCGAGAGCATCTAGAGAAAGACCAAAAGACATTGAGGATGTGATTTTGGTCAGGTTTGGTCTGCTGGTTTCTGTTTATACAACATCAGTCAATAGAGCCTGAGTTTCAGAAGCTTCAAAAGCATCATCAAAAAATGTCATGAAGCTTCTGAAAGTCAGGCTCCATTGACTGATGTTGTATGAACAGAAACCAGCAACCACCAGGACAAACTTGACCAAAATCACCTTTTGTGTTGACAAAAAAAAAACAGGGATTGAACAGCGTGGAGGCGAGTAAATGATGACTGAATTTATATGTTTGAGTGAACTAACCCTTTAAGCCCCCCCAAATAGAAATTGTATGAAATATATTTATGCATTTATCTTATAGTAGTACCTTGAAGAAATACACTTTAAGAAATTACATATAAGCAGCTTTATTGAGCGTTTGTGCCCAAGAAACTTACAAAAAAGGTTTTTACAAAAATCACATTTACATTCATATTTCTGCATTTGGCAGACACTTTTATCCAAAGCGACTTACAGTGCTCTTATTACAGGGACCCCCAATTCCCCTGGAGCAACCTGGAGTAAAGAGCCTTGCTCAAGGACACCCTGGTGGTGGTGGCTGCAGAGATCAAACCAGCAACCTTCTGCTTACCAGTTCAGTGGTTTATCCCACTACACCACAAAAGTAATGAAGCTATAACACAAATTAATCATAAATGCTATTGGTTAATTCACCGAGGGGGAAAATTCTGTTCTGCCGCACCAGTTGCACACCCATAAGGACGGCACTGGACATATCTTCACATGCATTCACACAAAATGACACAATATCAATGAAACCTTCTTCATATCCATTTACAGAACTGTATATACTTAATGAGTGCTGTTTGTGACGCTACAATGTATGCAACCTTATCTATTAAGGTAAATAATGTATATATGAATGCTTGGGTAAGTGTTCAGCATAACCCATTGATGTTTGGTCTTCATATTTTCAGCACATTGTGTAGGTAATCTGTAATTATGCATAGGAAAAACCTTAAAGACACTGTTCTAAATGTGGACTTTAAGCTATGCAAATAGACCTCATGCCAGAGAGAGGCCATGCCATGACAGCATCGGCCAATCAAAGCGCTGGATCTGAAAGGTGCCAACTTCTCAGGAAAGGTTAAATGGTTCTCTTCAAGAAAAAGAAGTGTGCTAAGTGTCGTTGCTCTACTGTAAGTGCTAAACTGCTAAGCTAAGTTGCTCCAAGCAGAAACAAGGAAGATCTGCAAGAAGCGAATTTGGGGAGTTTGGAAACCGCAACAGCAGCAACGACCACAAGCTTAGTGCCCCCCATCTTCAGCAACAACTTCAGCACCTTCTCTTCAGCGGTCCACCATTTGAGTGTTCCAAACTGCTAGGATCTTCTCCAACAACAATTTGCATTAGATTCTATATAACTGATGTCAGATAACAACAAATAATCTCTTGATTTATTTGTTGAAACTAGAATAAGGTTTACCTTAGTACTTCCAGGAAACTTCAGTTTATCTTTCCATAAGATGACGTCCATAGTAACATCCAACTCAGTCACTTGCATCTATCAATCTTTTGCACTTTATCCATTCAGTGTACCCATTTATTAGTTGCTCTTGTCTATCCTTTTGTTAATAAAACCCCTTTTATAACACTTGTGTCTTCCTTGTGTTGATAATACAGTAAGAGGCTCTACAAGTTAACGATATCTCTCAAATCCTTTAGATTGATCAGACTACAACTTTCTATGATTTATGTAATCCTCATTTATTCAACAATCTTCCGTGATTGTTCTTTATTGTCAAGGGGAAATGACTTGGCTGGTCCCCTGTAAAATAGTGTGACAAAACTTAATATTTAAGCTCAAAGCCATTACACTGGTGGTGCTACTTGGATCTAAAACCACTACATGTAGTGGTGGCCCATGTGAGGCTATCTAACATTGAAATCACAACAATTCTTTTTATTGCAGAACTTATTACATAAATGCATTTATTGCACCTCCGTTTTATCAAACAGTCTGTGTAAATGCATCTAATGCCACTTCAGATGCAGCTTCAGTTTCCTCTGCAGTGGAAAGATTGAGTTTGTTGATATTGATTTCATTTGAATGGTAACAACTCTACAGTTTCTTATTATTCTAACGGAATTAATTGATACAATGTAAGAATTTGATGTGAAAGATGACTAGGGAATAAAATGACCATTTATAAACCTAGTGGGAAATGTTGTGTTACATACAGTAACCCAGTTAATTGTTATTTTTGCCTCTTTCCAGTCACGGAGCACTTTATTTTGAGAGTTGTTTAAGTGAGAGAACATCTATAACTATATAACTATATAACACAGATTGGGGGAATTGTAATGTTTAATAATTTATGTAGTTTTTAAATTTTTTTTGCAATGAAAAATGTAGATTTTTGTTTGTATATGCTGTCAGTTATAGTTCTTAGAAAGAACATCGGCAGACGGCAGGTTACAAAAAAAATCGGAATTCGGCCAAGAAAATTGCAATTGCAATTGGTGCATCTTTAATAAATTACATATTGAAATATATTCAAATAGAAAACAGTTTTTTAAATTGTTATATTTTAGAATGTTGCTGTTTTACTGTATTTTTAATCAAATAAATAAAGCCTTGGTGAGCATAAACAACATTTTTCAAAAGTATTTTAAAATCTTACCTCAAATTATAGTGTTTTGTTTGTTTGTTTGTTTTTCTGTGCAGTTGTGAATTGTTCTGTTGGTTTTGTGAGAACTTTTGATTCTGTTCTTTCAAAAAAGACACATACATAAAAACCAAAGACTAAAGAATGCCCAAGACGTGTTACTCGTATATTTTTGAATGGACTGAAAATGCTACACTCAATATGGCCGCTTTATTGAAGGAAGCCCCGCCTTCTGAATAAAAGAGCCAGTCAGCATTCTGAGACGTGTGCTTGGGACTGCACATGCGCACTGGCTGGTCTAGCCATCTTTTTAATGCTATTTGAGCAAATGAAACAACATTTATGAGACAGTTGTTGTCAGATTTCATTGGTGATTTCAACATTTCAAATATGAAATTTAATCTTAAACTTGGCGGACAGTTTTGGAGAATTTGATGTTTCCCCATTCAAAGAGATAGGAGCTGCACTTGCATGCCAGAGAGGCGTTTCAAAAATGGCCCCTGAGTGAAATGACTTGCCTAAAACTGAGTTTATGACTTCATTAGTGAAACCATATAAATCCACATTAATTGTACAACATGTACAATTGACTGCTCCAGTGGCACACTTTTAAAACACCATATGTGCCCTTTTTATGAGGTGTGTGCCATTAAGTGTGTGCGTGGGAAAATATGTGTCAAGGATTATTAATAACATCTTTAATTCATAATGTGAATTTTGTGCATGTGAGTTATCTGTGCATGGATTGTGTGTGCGGGCAGAATGTGGGACAGTAAGGCACTCAGCTTCCTCACGTTCATGCCACACAATCAGGGATCAAGAGAGGCAGGTCATCATTTGAGCTTTTGTGTGCCACAGAAGTAAGGGTAATCACGTCTCTGTAGTAAATGCGAATGATCCAGGACACCCACGTATATCCATAATGCTATACACTAAAGTCTGCACAACGGGTTTTGGTCGTCTGATATCATGATGGTCTCAGGCGGGGTTTTCAATGCACTGTGTGTGTTTACAGATTGTGCAGATTAGAAAAGATTGTTTTTGCTTCATTCATTAGTTGTTCACATACTGTGTTTGCTATAATAAAGCCAGGGGTATCCGGCCTGACAAGGCTTACTTGAGTTTCAGGGGGAGAGATAGCACCGCAGGCGGTTCTGGGGTGGAGTTGAGGTTGATATGATAATTCGATTTCAATTAGTTCGAATCCCTCTGAACCAAATAAAGGTCAGAATGGAACATAATAATTAGAGTCACTTAAAAGTAGGTTAGTAGAGTTCTGCACAATAGGAGGCTTGTGATTTTGATTTAATCATCAGGTAGTAAATCTCGTTAAAGAAAACTTGATCCAGAATTTGGTAGCTTTATTATTTAAAATCTCTATAACCTGCCTTCATTAAACATGGAAATACTACATATTCAATATATTTAAATGCATGTTTAAATGTTATTATTTAATGTGTTACTTTGACAGCTCTTAAATACAAAAATAATGTACTCAAAACTAAAAGTGAAAACACTAAAAATATGTAAGGAACCATCATTATCATAGTCAAATAGATTCAGTGTTTCATGCAAGCCAAAAGTAGCAAAATATCTGTTTAAAATAATTGAGGCAAGGAAGAATTATATTTAATAATTATCAATTCAATCATTGAATGAATCATTGTAAATCCGAAGAAAAAAAAACATTTTAAAATATATAAATATTTTAGATTTTATAATAATATTTCACAATACTACTCTTTTTACTATATATTTTTTTTTTATAAAATAAATGCAGCATTTGTGATCATTGAAATTTATTTCAAAAACATTCAAATGTTACCAACTCCAAACATTTGAAAGGTAGTGATATAATAATATAAATTGATAATAATGTTTATAATATTTTCCTTACACTTTAAATATATTTGAGAGTTTTCATGTATACTTCTTATTTGTTTTTAAAAATGTTAAAACTTTTTTTTTTTAGATAACATTTAAATGTATTTAAATAGTTTTAATTCATGTTACTTTGGCAGCTCTTAAATACAAAAATAATTTATTTAAAACTAATAGATTCAATGTTTCATGTAAAAATCAATGTAAAATAATTGAGGCAAGGAAGAATTCTATTTAATAATTTTCTTTTAAATCATTGACTGAATCATTGTGAATCTGTTAAATCTCTGAATCTGAAAGAATCATTTAATCCATTTTGAACTGATTGATTGAAACAGGCACTTTGAACTGATTCACAGAAAATTAATTATCATACTCTGTAAGAGTTTATAATTATGTTCATATGTTTAATGTATTGTTTCAAGTGTTTACCCATTGTTGTCATGGTTTCAATCAGGTCTCTTAGGTTATTTAGGCTTAAGATATGCCTTCATCACTATCCAGTATAGCACAGCCAAAATGAAACCACCCTAATGATCTTTTGATCCATGCCCATATGGCCAAACCGCTTTCAAACACCCGTAATTATGACCCTGCCCCTGTTTCACATCATGCCTGGGAAATCCTGTCTGCCAAGGTCATGAATGGAGCAGTGAAGGGAAATTGATTTTTCCTAAAGATTACCTGATTGTGCAGTCAAAATACAAGTAAATGATGTTGACTTACTCTGATGTAAATATGTAAAGCCAATCAGTGTTTATTAGGATGTGGGTTTTTTGAGCAATTTTGAAATGTAATCTTTCCTGTTTTATTTCCTTTGCAGTCTTTTCAAGGGAGTCAAGGCAGGGCCTACCTCTTCAACTCGGTGTAAGTCCTCTGGTTTATCTTAGCCATGCAACACAAAAAAGACAATCAGAATGGTTTTCTTTTTTAAATTTTGACATCATCTTTTTATCAATCAGGGTGAATGTGGGCTGCGGCCCGGCAGAGGAGAGGGTACTGCTGACTGGTCTTCACGCGGTGGCCGATATCTACTGTGAGAACTGTAAAACCACTCTGGGCTGGAAATACGTAAGTTCTGGATCACACTGGACACACACACTCACTTAAAGACCACTTACCTAAAAAAAACAACCATGATCATTCATAACGGACATGCACACTTGCATTTTGACAGCTTTCTTCAGCCAGTCAAGACCAGTGTTGGGGAAAGTTACTTTTAAATGTAATGCATTACAATATTGCGTTACTCCATAAGAAGTAACTAATTACGTAACTTAGTTACTTTTTATGGAAAGTAATGCGTTACGTTACTTTTGCGTTACTTTTTAAATCTGGACAGGGCTTGCTTGTTTGTTTTTAAAATAAAAAAAAGTTATATTTTTGGCAAATATAAAAGACTTTTCACACCAAAAGTGAAATGAATAAGCCTCAGGCTGAAGGCAAAGTAAATTTATGTCCGTACATTAGAATGCAGAAGAAGAAATTTCAACACACTTCAGCAATAAAAAAAGACACACAAACGTTTGTCTAGAGTAATTTGTGCTTATTAGTACGGTTGAACTGGATCATCGAAGGTCAGAAGCAAAGACATTGGTTAATAGAATGGGATTAAATACATAAAGGATATTTGTGTTGTTTAACATTTAATTATTGCAGGTTTGTCATATTCTTGCATTATTTTTATTCTTTTTTTTTTTTGTGAGTGAGATAAATTAATGCATATTCATGTTTATTTTAGAACTACACTAACATCTTCTGATTTCTCTCAACATGGCGACACCAGAGCTGTCAATCAATAAATTGGAAAAAAAAAGTAACTTGCATTACTTATTTGGAAAAAGTAGCTCAGATATTCTCTTGTAAATTAAAAAGTAATGCGTTACTTTACTAGTAACTTGAAAAAAAGTAATCTGATTACGTAACTTGTGTTACTTGTAATGCGTTACCCCCAACACTTGTCAAGATAACTCATCCATATCTCACGTGAGGGATAAGACTCATGCTAGAGACTCAGACACAGCTCATCAAGAGAGATACTTTAAGTGGCTTTTACACACACTCGTGACCTGCTTCCCACATCACTAATCTACTTCTGACAGCCTAACCTTTGAGTACCTTATGCTTTCCAAGAACAAACGGTATGAATTGTCTTGTTGTCACAGACTGGTTAGAAGTGAAAAGCACTTCAGAAAATGTTGAAATCTTGATCTCCCTACTTAAAGCCAGATGGAGAAACCATCAGGTAAAATGCAGTATTTACATTATTTTTTGAAAATGTGGACTCAGTAAGATTTTTTTTTTAAAAGATGTGAATACTTTTATTCGGTAAGGCTGCATTAAATTGATCAAAAAATTACAAAAAATAAAATTAATAATGCTGTTTCAAATAAATGCTTTTCAACTTTCTGTTTATCAAAGAATCATGAAAAAAGCATGTTTCCACAAAAATATTAAGCAACACTGTTTTCAACACTGATATCAATAAGAAATGTTATAAAAGAATGCAGTTATAAATTGCATTTTAAAATATATTCAAATATAAAACAGTTTGTGTAATAATATTCAGTATTTGTGCTCAAATAAAGACGTAAGAGACTTGTTTTAAAAACATAAAAAAATCTTTCTGACCACAAACATTTGAACAGTAATGTTTATTATAAAATACAATATTAAAATAAAATAATATTATATTATATAAATAATAATTGTTATATTTTCCTAACACTTTAAATACAGATTAGTGTTTTCATGTGTACAGTTTATTTATTTAAAAAAATGTTTTAAAACATTTTTAGTAAAAAGTTGTAAAAGTACTGAGTTTTTGAATCATACATGAATCATTACATTTTGATATATGACAACCTTAATGAATCTTTCAGTATAATAAAAAAAACATTTTTAAGAAATATGACACAAATCATGAAGGACTACAGTGTACACTCTAAGATATAATTTTCTATTATATTTTTTTGTGTCACAACAACAACGACTTCCTGCATTTTGGTTAAACTACCCTGACATTTTAAAGGTTTATCAGATATTAATAAATTAAAATGACAATAATAATAATGCATTATGACTTTTCATTATGACTTTTCAGCCATTTAATGAGTCTTGATCCCCCCCCCCCCCCCCCCAAATATATGAAAGTGAATGTTAATTCATTATAAGAGGTGTGTTCAAGACATTGTTGTTGTACTTATTAATGAGCTAATTGACATCATTGACGCTTATATTTAAAGAATCGGCATATTAGAATAGATTTAGAAGTTGGCACTTGTTTTACAGGCATATATAGTGAAACATCTCCTCTAATACTGCTATTTAAAGGTCGTATATTTGATTGACATATCCAGAAAAGCTTCCCAACAGCTGTCCATTATTTTTGGATCAGCAGATCTTGACTTTGAGGTGACCACAAGCTCGTTCTCTTTCTCTCTCCCTCCCTCTTCTTCTTTCCCTCAGGAGCATGCCTTCGAAAGCAGTCAGAAATACAAGGAGGGCAAATTCATCATCGAGCTGGCCCACATGATCAAGGACAATGGGTGGGACTGAAAAGCCTGAACTCCCCACGGCCCATAACGCTGGAAAGAGACATGCAGCATATGAATAATTAGTTTCATTATCTGGCTGTAACTTCCTCCCTGGAAATCTATCTACCTGACACACACCTCTAAACCTTGAGGGTGTAAGGTTCATAGCTGCAGCACTACCCATTTCCTGTGTGTATGTATGAACGAATGTGTGCCAGCTAGACACCAAGTGTTTCTATTATGTGTGAATATTTTCCTATTCAATTCAAGGGAGTGATTGTGTGTGTGTGTGTGTTTGTGTGAACAAATTGATGCACAAAACGACGTTTGCTTTCCTCTGGGTTGGCCATGGTCACAGTTTTTATCCCACACTCAGGTTTAACTAATGGCTGGATCCATGGTAAAGAAGGGTGAAAGACAAACCCATTTAGCTCATTTGAGGTGAAAACGTACTAAAACAGAAGTGTTGTCCGTTTGTTTCCCTTTTCTTTTGTGTCTTTATTTCCTCTAGTTTTGTCATTTTCACTCGCATGTTGTTTATTTATACATGTATTTATTGATTGTTCGTTTTGGGACGTTACGTTTATGGTAAACCGTAGCAACCACAGTGGTCTTACTTTGACCTCGTATAGCGGAAGTAGCAATGTACATTTCCTCTCCAGATTGTGATCTCCTTTTGAATGCGATTATGGAGTAAATGAGGTCGCGGCACAGGTCGCGCACATTAGCTAGAGCCAAGTCTTTAGCCCCAGCCACAGCTAAGAAAACTAAGCAGCTGTCAGCTTTGAAAGAGAACTGAGGCAATGGTCGACCGATATAACAACAATGCCGATATATCGGCCGATATTTGGCATTTTTCAAATATCGACATCGGCCGATGTGTTCGGGGCGGGACTTTTATTTTTTACGGCGCTGAGATTGCAGCGCCTGAACACACAGTGCTTACATTCTCCCTCTTGTTCGCTGTCGTCGTTCAGTTCTATTTAATAATCAGATAGAACTGTTAAACAAATGAATTCAAATGTATACAAAAAAGTATTATAACGATTACTTTAATATTATTAGTAATAGAAAGGCAAATATTATAATACTTTCTTGTTTGCCGTCAGCATTCAGCAAATACGCATCAATATCACTTAAACAAATCTTGGAATGACTAATGAACATTTGATTTCCCAAACCTTGCAGACTTTGTCGAATTTAGTTGAGATCTTGTGAAGTGTGCATTTGTATCCTGCATGATCGCGTGTTCTCTGCGTGACGGTCGGTCCGTGCGAATTGAATGCTGACAGGAGGAGAGTTCTGCTTGCCTGGAGATGCGCGATCGACTAACTTTAAACTCGTGATTTCAAATTATTCTGCGCTTTATGCATTTGCCCACTGTCATATTCATGTCATTTTCATTGTATGCTGTATGTAAAATTAGTGTTACCTTGGCTTTATTTGAAAAATATATATATATATGATTCCCAACGCACACAAACTTCCCAGAATACTGAGTGCCCTGTTGGTTACAGTGTTTACTTCCTATTCAATTAGATTTTTATTAAAAATTGATTTGTGAAAAATGCTTTGTCCTCTAAAGTATAAGTATGTTTATTTTACACTATTATTTTTAATCCATTTTCAAATTATTTCAAATTTCTTAAATATTAATTAAAACAAATACAATTATATCGACTTTATATCGGCCATCGGCCACCCTGCTTTTCCAAGATATCGGCATCGGCTGTCAAAAAACCCAGATTGGTCGTCCACTACTCACAACCCGTGATGTCTCCTTCGGTCTCATTAGTTCCCGCCATTAAATCACAAATCAAGTGGTAAACCAGACTTTATCACCACGTGTTTTGGGGAAGAAAGCGATCGACAGCTAGTAAATGTGGCCGTTGAATGAGATAATCCAGATGATGGGGCTCGTAAATAAATAGCCTTGCCACAACCAAAGACTATTTCATCACCTATGCTGACCAAACTGAGTTCGATTTCTGATTTAAGGCCTGTTCACACTAAGGACAATAACAGTTACAATAAATATAAAGTTGTAAAAATCATTGTAATTCTATGAGAATAGTAGAGTCCACAACTGTAATGATAACGACACTGAGGAACAATATTGTTGGAATCACTTTCAGAATGATTTTTTTTGCAGCTGACGAATGATAAAAACATCGACAGCCAATCAGAAAGCACTCAACTTTGACGAGCATGAGCATTTAAAGTGACAGAATTAGCATTGGCTGGTGTGGACTTTAATATAGTTTTCATTATACTTCTCGTTCTTGGTGTGAACGGACCGTTAGTTGCTTCATTGTGTGTCATTTGGTTCAGATGAATTGTTTTGTGTAGAACAAGTCGGTTTTCGATTTAGGTGTTTTGGATGTTAACGTGTAATGTCTTATTTTGAGTATGTATTTATGATCAGTTATCACGTATTGTTTTAGCACTCAACCTTACATCTGTGTATTTCTCATTCTGTGGGAGCGCTCCACCTATTCCAACGTTTGTTTGTTTGTTTGTTTTTTTAATCATTTCAAATGTATTTTTTTCAAGGACAAAAGTGTGTGGGATAATTTGGAATCAGTATATTTGAATCTGATATCAATAAAGCTCTCATTTTATGAATATCCTTTTGCCATAGATTTTTTAAATAGTGTATTATTCGCTGTTCAAAACGTTTGGGGTCGGTCAGATTTTGAATGTTTTAGAAGGATGTCTCTTATGCTCACCAAGGCTGCATTTATTTGATCAAAAATATAGTAAAACAGTAATGTTGTGAAGTATTATTAAAATTTAAAACGTGTTTTGTTTTTTGTTTTTATTTTCAATATTTTATGAAATAGCAGCCATTTCTCCAGTCTTCAGTGTCACATGACCCTTCAGAAATCATTCTAATATGCCAATTAATTTCATATTATTATCCATGTTAAAAACATTTTTGTGGAACAAATTAAATAGTTTTAAAGAAAAAATACCAATCTTTTGTATCAATGTAAAAGTCTTAACTGTCATTTTTTATCAATTTAGTGCATCATTTATGAAAAAAAAACACCATTTTGAACAGTAGTGTGCATTTAAATAAGTAACACTGTTATCTTTCATTCATATTTTTACATTTATGCCTTAAATAAATCATGGGTTTCTTCAAATATTTAGGATGTGATTTTGAGAGCAGAGTTCAAATGTTCCCTAAGGCATTTTAATCTATGCTGAACCTTGCACGCTGTCTCTGGATGTAGTGCGTGTGTGAGAGAGGGTGGCAGAGCCAGGAAACATTGTTTACAGCAGCAGATGGTGGGCAGCCTCTTTCAACCATGATACTAGTAGCAGCCATGTGAGTGACAAACATTGGGTTTTTCTACCCCAGGCAGCACTAATACTATGAATCCATTGTTTTATTCAGGCTCCCAATGGGAATTAACACCCGGTAACATCGATTACAGCACTTAACAGCTTCACAATACGGAAAGAGACTGTTTTTCATTAAAAAGACACAAAAAGCAGATTTAAACGCAAAATTATACAAAAGTTTTTATTCAGACGTTAAGCAATTTTCTCAGAACTTTGCATATAAAAAAACCCACATTGTATTGTCATGAATATACAGATTAAACCGTCAGCTGATGTTAGAGAATTCATTATACTCCAGGATTTATAGGCCTATACATACAAATTAAATTGAGAAAATGTCATTTGTTTTACATAATATATATATATATATATATATATATATATATATATATATATGTGTGTGTGTATATGTATGTGTATATATATATGTGTTTTATAGGCCTATACATACAAATTAAATTGAGAAAATGTCATTTGTTTTACATAATATATATATATATATATATATATATATATATATATATATATGTGTGTATGTGTATATGTATGTATGTATACATATGTGTGTGTGTGTGTATATATATATATATACAGTATATCATAATATACAATTCATATTATAAGCCATTTTTTTCATTCTCGTTATATAACCAAACTCACGGTGATAATGTAAGTAGTTAGAGGCAATAAAACAAATACTACCATGAAGAATAAATACTTTACAATATTATTATCACTGTTTTCACTCCTTTTTTTTGCAACAGAGACAAGACTGTGGTATTTTTACATTATGGTATTGAGCAATGACGTGTGGGGTTCATTTAAAGCAGTAGCTAATTGTGGGATCTTTCTGCCTCTCTCGACCTCTCCTCAAAGCTGTCTGCCTCAGCCACATGATGTATACTAAGCTTCTTGCTGGCCAAACCCACTGTTTCTAAAATAAATGCGATATCCATCCCGGACAGAGTGAGTGAGTGTCTGTTTGATATAAAGAGAGAAAAAGAGATGGGGAGAGACACAGCCCCTCTGTAAAGCAAATATACATTCAAACGCAAAGCAAACCACCAAATAGAGCAATACTCTAAGATTAAATGACATTATTTGTTGCATGAAGTTGCACTAAAAAAAGATTTATATATACAAATCATAGAGTCATGCATTTTAAATGTAAAAATATATCCTCAACACTCTTCTAACGTTGATGCATATGACAAAATGTTCCCAATAAGAGTATTTGGATTAGAGATACTGTAATCTCTGCACAGATTTCAGATTATACATGTTTATTCACCCACTGCGCTCATCTGTGGCAACGAGCCTCTGCACAACCAGCATGTGTGCATGTGTGTGATTTCTTGGACTTGGAGTATTTCTGACCTGTGTACAAACACAGCTCAGTGTTTCCTGCTGCAATATTATCAAGCCTCTCTGCTGTAGATAAAGAGATCACCAGTGAATTTGCCTGTGAATCCCATTTACTATTTATGGAAACTTAACAAAACTGTTCCATTTATCTCAACATTTGGTCAAAACAGAGACAGAGTATTATGACCAACACCCTCTTTTAAACAGTTCAGACCATTTCATACTACAAATTTGAGATAATTTGTTTGCCCACATGGGAACAGTGTATAAGATCCAAACCTGGCTGTGACCCTTTTATTGTTAGTTGGCATGTGATTTATTAGTGGGGATACATAAAGGGATCCCAAATAAAGTTTTTGGGCACTTGTTTGGTCATTTATTTTAATGAAAGATAGCACCTTTCAAGCAAAACATATCACAAATAGAGGACAATGGAAATACTGTTCAAATGATGAAAAAATGTATTTAGACACTTTGTGGTCTTCAAATGTTAGTGTAATATGTTACCAAGACACTGTGTACTTGAAAAATACATAGAGAGAGAGAGATAGTAATATATAGTCATTTATTGTTTTATGTATTATATTTATTATTTTATACATTATAAATATATACATTAAAATTACATTATATAAACATATAATTTATCATAAATGTTTTGAATAATAGATAATAAATTAAATATATATATTTTATATTTTTATTTATTATATATTTATTTAAATACATCATATTATTTTTTATTATCATATATTGTTATATATATTTTATCATTATTATTATTATTCTTTAAGACGAAAAATATATATTTGAGCACTTTCTGTGATCTGATGAACTACACCTATGGATTTATCTACTATGACGCTTGTGTGAACTTGAGAAAACGTCCAACATAAATTGTTTTCAGATACAATTTGGTTTTATCATTTAAAAACCAATAATAATATAAAAAATATTTTTTTTATTTATCAGCAAATATGCATGAAGCAATGCATTCATCACATTATAAATAAGGTCAAGACAGTCCACTACTGAAAGTCAGCTAAAATATTTGTGCTCACTGCTCATTAAAACTAACTTAGCACTGAAAATGCTGTATTGCTGTCTAACTCAAATAACATTTGAGTTTCCTTGTCTGAGGCAAGGAGGGTAACATAGGGTCACATGAGGTGGGGTACATCTAATCAGAAACCCAGAGGCTGTGGTCCGGGGGGGAGGGGGTTGTTTGGGG